ATGAAATTGATTTCGATCCTAATTTTCTGGGTCTGAAAAATTAGATTTAACTCCCAAGGTGTGCCTGTTTTCATTTCAAATTTCTCCTGGACTCTCTAGTATTAACATAGGAATAAAGGGCCCGGCCAGTGTGGCTCAGTGGTTGAACATCGACCCATGCACCAAGAGGTCACCAGTTTGATTCCTGGTCAGGGCACATGTCCAGGTTGTGGGCCAAATCCCCAGTTGAGGGCATGCAGGAGGCGGTCAATCGATGTTCTCTGTCATCGATGTTTGTCTCTCTCTCCCTCTCCCTCTAAAATTCAATAAAGAAAAAATATTTAAAGATGCTTTAGAGTTTAAAAGTGCATGGCTCTCAGGCAGATATAGGGTTATAAGATCGTCTCCCAAACATTTTTCCAAACACTATAACAAGGATTCCCCACCTCCTACTGGAATAGTCAATCTAGAAGTAACCCCAAGAGAAATGTAGCCCAAACTCTATTCTTCCATTTAACAGATGTGGAAACTAGAGAACAGAGGCAGAAAGAATTGGGTCCAAAGCAAATTACTGGTTTTCCAGCTATGCTTTCAAAAGGAGTTTCGCCCTGGCCAGTTTGGCTCAGCAGTTAGAGCGTCGGCCAGCGGACCGGGTCCAGTTCCTGCTAAGGGCATGTACCTTACTTGCAATTTGTCCCTGGCTCCAGTTGGGGTCGTGTGGGTGGCAACCAGTCGATGTGTCTCTCTCTCTCTTACCCCTCTCTCCCTCCCGCTCTATCTGAAGAGAAATGCAAAAATGTCCTCCGGTGAGGATTAAAAAACAAGACAAAACAAAAGTAGCGCTGTTTGATAGAAATAACCACACAATTTTAAATAGGTAATTTCAAACTTTGTGGTAGGTAATTTCAAACTTTGTGGTAGTCATAAGTCAAAATATTATTTTGAAGTAATAAATGATTAGTATTATTATTTAAAATATTTTTCTTTATTGATTTTGGAGAGAGAGAAAGGGAGAAGGAGAGAGAGAGATAGAGACATTGAGGACAGAGAACATTGACTGGCTGCCTCCTGCATGCCCCCCACCAGGGATGGAACCCACAACCTGGGCATGTGCCCTGGCCGGGAATCGAATTGGCGACCAGTGAGGCACACCGGGCAAAATAATTATTAATGAGATATTTCACATCCCTTTTGGTTGTACTGAGATTTTGAAATTCAGTGCGTGAACACTTCCAGCACATCTCAAGTGGCACTAGCCACATTCCCAGTGTTCACCGGCCACATGCCGCTGGCTACCCTGTTAGATGATGAATATCTAAGCTGTCTCATCTTATCCTGACCCAGCTGTACAAACACAAACCATTAGGACCAATTTTCCATTGGTCGCTAGCACCGTTCCCATGATCAGTGATCACTTTGTACACCTGCCGGACCAGAAGATGAATCTTCCGACTGGAGCTAGAGCTTCCTGTGGCCAAGCGGAAGAGCATTCCATTTCTGGGAGGGACCTCAAAAGTAGCCTATTCTAACTTGATACATGACTTCGAACACCAGAAAAAGCCCAATAGCCTGCCGCGGGTCCCGGCGATGGCAGGCTGGCATTTGGAACCCCAATTTCCACAGTGCAGTATGTGAGGTGCTCATAACACAGTGCCAGCCACCTAGTAAATGCCTGAGAAATCTCCATCTTCTTCCCTTCCTCCTCTTCCGCTTTTGCACCACTGGTCTGTCCCCAGAGAAGTTGCTCAATTAAAGCGAGATACAATGCAGAGGACGTTTGGGAGGAGGAAGTGTTATTTCCAGCCCGTCTGGTAGGTGCACCTCCCCAGGTAACATCTGTTACATAAGCGGCAGCGTGACACACCTATCTGATGAATGAATGCAGCACACCCATTTCAGCCAGGGAAGGCGCTCCGGTTTTCCCTAGCAGAATCGTCGTGTGGAATTGAGGCACGGAGTTGGCAAAATTCACTTTTGCCATCTGACGAGTAGGGCCAGTTCTTGGGTGTTATCCCCCAAGTGCTTTTCGACTGCCTCACAACCTCAAGAAAAACCAGTTTTAGGAGCACCACACCTAGGATCATATGATGCAATCCGATATTAGCATCTCATTGCATCAGTGTTTCTGACGCATGTGTCTTTTGCGCTGGCAAAAAGGTTTATAATGGGGAAGGAGAAAAAAAAAGAAAAAGAAAAAGACTCGCTGGCTGAAAGCTAAAGATACTGCCAGTACTGTTCCTAATTGGCCACACAGGGTGTTCGGGGGATAAACACTCAACCAACTGCTGCAGCCTGACAAGCATCAGCATGCCATTTCCTGAAGGGCCTTGATGGCATATTTAGGCGAAATTCTTTTCTGGTTGGTTCTATTTGTGTTTTATATCAGAGCATCAAGGTTTAATCTCCTAAATCTCTTTTAATGCAGGTCTATTAAGAAGAGGCTTTCAAAGGGTGCTTCCACTCCCTGTCTCGACCTTTCTGAACATCTCATTTCCCAAGTTCTTTTCCATAAGTGCTCTTGGCTTCCTGAACACCCAGACTTTTGACTTTGATCAAAAATACCTTAGATTTGGACCTCATAGTTTCTGTCTTCCTTTAGACATTTGTTGCATCCTCAATCTTGCTTCTTGCTAATACATTCATCAAGGAATGAATGAATTGCAAAGATCCTAGAACTCTATCCACCCTCAGGAAGTTGCCTAAAGAAGGAACTGTGTACAGAATGGCTAAGAAAAAAAAGGAACCAGGTAAAAATCTTTGGTAGGAGACCAGGTGATATTGAGATCATAAAATAGGAGGGAGACCCCTCCCAGTAGGTGCCAAGATCTTCTAGCAAAAAATCAATCTTTAATGTGGCTTACTAGGCTCTCCATGAGTTAGCCCTTGCCTGCTTCTTAAGTTCTAGCCATATGGCTCTTCTCATCCAGCCCCAAAGGACACTTTTCCTCCCAAGAGGCATGTCTCTCAAGATCCCTGGATCTCAGTGTCTATGTGTATGGCTCCCTCCAGCTGTCCTGAAATAGTCTTCCCACCCTTGTTCATCTGGTGTATTTGTTTGTTTATTTGTTTGTTTAGAGAGAGAGAAGGGAAAGGGAGCGGGGGAGAGAAACATTGATTGGTTGCCTCCCATAAGGGCTCAGAGTGGGGATCAAACCCAAAACCTAGGCATGTGCCCTGACAAGGGATCAAACCCACAACCTTTTGGTGTACAGGAGGATGCTCCAACCAACAGAGCCACCTGGCCAGGGCTGGTGAGTTTTATCCATCCTGTAAGTCAGCTGAACTTCCCTGACCCCAGAATAGGATGAATTCCCTTGCCATGATGGTCTTAGGTAGGTATCATTTTGCAATGCTTATGTGTGTAGGGGGGGGGGGGGGCTTTCCTTGACCCTCATAGAGTCTCCAGCTAGGTCTGAAAATAATACTGGCAATGACAGATTAACAGGAGAAAAGGATATACTTTCATTTTACTTTTTAATGTTTTATTGATTTTTTTTAGAGAGGAAGGGATAGAAACATGGATGTGAGAGAGATACATCTATTAGCTGCCTCCTGCACCCCCCTATTGGGGATGGAGCCCACAACCCTGGCATGTGCCCTGACCCAGAATCCAACCTGTCAGTCCATGGGACAATGCTCAATTCACTGAGCCATACCGGTTGGGCAGGATATACATTTATTTTAACATAAGTGTTATGTGACAGAGGAGCCTTTTTAAAAAAATACTTTTATTTATTTATTTATATTTATTTATTTTCCTTTATTGATTTTAGAGAGAGAGGAAATGGGAGGGAGAAAGAAATAGAAACATCAATGAGAGAGAACATGGACTGGCCACCTCCTGCATGCCCCCCACTGGGGACTGGGCCCACAACCTGGGCATGTGCCCTGACTGGGAATCAAACCGGCGACCTCCTGGTGCACGGGGTCAATGCTCAACCACTGAGCCACACCAGCTGGACGACAGAGGAACCTTCATTAGAAATGAAGACCTAAAGAAGCAGACCTGTTTGTTTTTCTGCTGAAGAGTGGACAGCCATGGAGGACTATGGTAGGTTAAGGAGGAGGAGAAAGTGTCTAGATGAGAGAAACTATCAAGGTATGTTTATTAGGATTCTTCCTGGTGTCCCTTGGTCTCCAGAGCAGGGCACCTCTCCCCTGAGGGGTTTTATGGCCTATTTTGGAGAAGGGCTGAGGGTGGGAGTAGGGAGTCAGAGTGACCTTCCTGCTTCCGCCATGTTCTCAAAACTCATTTAGCTTAAAATATTCAATATGCCACGGTGTCACATTTTGGGGTAGCCTGTCCTGCACCCCACACACGTGTATTTACTTGTTTAAGTGTGCCTACCGTTCCCGTTAGACCTTGCTTTCCACTAGGGCAGAAATCTTGCACCTAGCAACATGTGTCTTGCATGTACCAGGGGCTCACTAAACATTTCTCAAAAGATAAAAATTTCCATCAAGACTAGCTTTCAGTACATCCTTGGCCTCCAAGTCAATTACTAATTACTTAGCAAACTTTTATGTAACTACCATCTAACATCACCTTACCATATACTGGGGACACATCCATAGGCAAGATGAAAACATACAGCTTCTCTCTGTACGGGAGAAAATTATTCAAATTGTATTCGTGCTTCATTCCAATCACTCAATTAGGGCACGTCCCTGTTGGCGGAGGCGTGAGCAAAGTATTTTCCAGCGAGTGTCCTCAGGTGACCTGTCTAGACATGCCCGGGAAAAACAGTCTAACATTCTCCAAAAACCCAAAGAAATCTCTGACTTTCAGGACGCTCAGCGTAGAAGGCCCAAGGCGTGCTGCGCGGCCTGTGAAACGTGCAGGACCCGGCAGTGAAGCCTGGCGGCGTGGCGCCCGGCGCAGGTTCGGGTGGGCCGAGCTGTCCCGCGGGTGCGGGTGCAGGCCGGGCCGCCGCGGGGTCCGCCGGCCGGCAGGGGGCGCGCGCGCGCGCGCCGGACCCCGTGCCGCCCGCCCCGCCGCGCGCTCGCTTGCCACCCCGGCAGCACAAGTGTTTCTGTTTTGTGTTGTAGCATTTGTTCTGGAAGCCTGTATTTACATTTTAAGTATATCTGGTGAGTGGGTTGGAGCCCTTGTCTGGGCCGGGGCGAGGAAGATAGGGGGGAAAGCCCTCGGGTTCGTCTTTTAGTTGCTCTTCTTCCTTTTTCTCTCCGGATTCTCATCACTCCAACCAGGTAGGGGCTGGAAATCAAAATCAACAATGATCAGTTTGCGGGATCTGGGAAAGTTTTTTTTCCTTTTTCTTTCTTTCTTTTTTTTTTTTAAAGGAGAAAAGGTAAAAAAAAAAAATCTTGAAGAAGGGGGGTTGGGGGACTGAATGAATAAAAAGGGGAAGGAAGGCGGATCCACGTGGTTTAATCCGAGACAGACAGAGATCCCATTGTTCAAAATCAATTAAAAAAAAAAAAAAAAAGGCAGACAGGGCCAAAGCGCAGGGACGCCTAGGGAAAGTAGCTGCGGAGCAGGGCACTTTGTAGCCGGGATCCGAGGGATCGGCCCGGCCGCACCTTCGGGAAAGGACCAGGAGAGTTGGGCACCATTAAAGTTTTTATTTTTCGTGTCTGTGCGAGCAGGTGTTTGGGGTTGGGAGCCTGCTTTATTCACCCCCTCCCTCGTTGGGGACAGCCCACCCAGTGGGATTCGGAAAATTAGAGCCTGAGGTCGGAACCCCCAGGCCGGGGCGGAATTGGGGAGTCGGGCGGGGGGAAAGGCGTAGAGAATTGCGTTTCATTGAGCGGGCTTGGGGAGGGGGTCGCGAAGACAAAAGCAGCAGGTGGGGTTGTCCGGGAGGGGGAAGCCCCTTCGCCACCGGAGGTGCCAAAACAGGATGTTTGAAGTGTCCTGAAACCCTTCTTTAATTAGAACGTAGGGAGAAGGAGGCTTCTTTTTCTTTCCCTTTACTTTTTGGGGGGGACCAGGCTGCAATTGTGATGCGATGTAGGTAAACCTAACTTGAGGATGGGTCAGGGTCTCCATTTTTTTTCTTTCTCTAACTGGATTGCGGTCGGGGACCCTGGCACCCGTGTGGGATTCCCCGGAGGAGGCGCGCCGGGCCCGGGAGGGGCGCGATTTCCTCCCGGCTCACCCCCTCTCCGCCCACCCCGCGGCCGCCACTTTGGGGAGGGCAGGGGAGGAAGTGGAGGCCGGTGGCTCCGCTCCGCTCCCCTCCCCCCGCGCAGTTTATAACCCGTCCATTGTGCGCCGCTGCCCCGTGTCTCCTCCAGCGCGACCATGCCCAGGAAGAAGGCGGCGGCGGCCTGGGAGGAGCCGAGCTCGGGCAACGGCACGGCTCGCGCCGGGCCCAGGAAGCGCGGCGGCCCGGCCGGCAGGAAGCGCGAGCGGCCCGAGCGCTGCAGCAGCAGCAGCGGCGGCGGCAGCAGCGGCGACGAGGACGGCCTGGAGCTCGACGGGGCACCTGGTGGGGGCAAGCGCGCGGCGCGGCCGGCGGCGACCAAAGCGGGCGGCGCGGCGGTGGTCATCACCGAGCCCGAGCACACCAAGGAGCGCGTCGTGAGTGTGGGGCCGGAGGGCAGGGGGTTGAGGCCCGCAGCGCGCCACTGCGCGCGTCCTGGCCCGGGCCGGCGGGGGCGGCACAGGCCGCGGGCTGAATCATCATCGCCGCCGCCGCCGCGGCGTAACAAAAGGTTCGGGTGGGCGCGGGCCAGAGGCGGGCGCGGTCGGCGGCCTATCCGACCCCGCGCCGCCCGCCCGCGCGGCGGTTGATCCTTGGGGCGCGCGCCCCGAGCCCCCCAGCGGGGGAGGGGCGTCCGGAGCCCGCGCCCGCCCGCGCGAGGGGGTCATGGCCCCGCCCCCGGCGCCGCTCGAGCTTACTGCCTCCGCCTCCCCTCCCCCCTCCCGCCCCGGGAAGGGAGACTTTTGCAAGTTGTCTTGGGCCGGAGCAGGGGATGCGCGCGCGGGGCGTGACTCCCTGTGCCCTCGGCCGTCCCCGGCCTCCTGCGGTCGCCGGTCCGCCCGGGCGCCGCGGGGCAAGGGGTCTCCGGCGCGCTGCGGGGAGCGGCGGTTTGCGCCGAGGCTTTGAGGTTCCCGCCGCCTCGGCTCCGGCGCCCCGGGGGGGCGGGGCCTGGTGGCCGCCGCGCATGCCCCTTACAGCCCTGCACTGTCTCTCGCGCTTCGGGAGACGGGGGTGGCCGGCGCTGGGGCGGGATGCGAGGGCGCATGCTCGGGCGAGTCCTCCCCCTGGAGGTCGGGAAGCCCCCGGCTGAGAGGTGTTTGGGCTTTGTTCGTCGCTTGGGGTCCGAAGGCGCGGGTGCTCCCCCCATCCTTGCAAGAAGCCTCTCGCGTGTGGGCTTCAATTTGCTCATTAGAGTTGGGCTTTAAAATCGTAAGATCGTGACCATCTCAACTTACATACCTGGAAAACCCTGCAGAGCCAGAGCTTTTAGCCTGGGCTCTGCGATCCTCAAAACCTACAAGTTTAGTGTGAGATGAATGTTCAGGAGGTCAGAGCTTTCCCCAGGGCCTCGGCTAATCCCAAGAGAATAAGAACTTCCACTTAGGATCGCGGATCTGACATCTGGAGAGGTCCCGTGCTTTCCCCAAGGGGCGTGTAAGGGTTAACAGCATCAGCGTGCTTTCTCCTCCGGAGGACCACTGGCAGTGCTCAAATGGTTAGAAATATCCGTTTCATAGGTGAGAAAAGTGGGGCACAGAATTTAAGGGTCCGGCCCAAGATCACATGCCGCTGGGTTGCCACATGGCCCCAGGTGTTTTCTGACGTCATTCTCCGCCCCTGCACATTGTTCCTGTGAAAATGCTTGGTGACTGCCCTCCCGACTCAAAGGGTCGGCACCTTGAATGGTGGAGTGTGAAGTGAAGGGGAGCCCACGTCACTAAAATGTCTTGTGTACTGTGGGGGCCAGTGCCAGGGAAATGGCCACGGTCTTGAGAAACTGAACACAGGAACTGTTTTCCTTTGACCAGTCTAGTCCTCGCTGAGAGGCTGCAGGCATTTGCCCTTCGGTCACTTGGGAGGAGAGAACTGTAAAGAAAGGGCAGGTGGGCTCTTGTGCTGTGTTCTCTCTCTCCCCTGAGCTGACAGTCAACCTATTAGAGCAGTGAGTTCTGCTGTCGGGAAGTAGGATTCGTACCCGATGCGGGGATTCACCCAGGAAGATAGATAGTCACGGAGAGAGACTGAATGGACTCCAGGCTCCCCACCAGCCTGTGCACAGCTGCCTGTCTGATGGGAATGGCGCTGTGATTAGTCTGACTGGGAGACACAGCTGTCCATTGCAGTGTAAGGTTGTTTTACATTTACATCTCATCTCTTTTACGTTCCTGAGAGATACATAACATATGTACATATCCATATGTATGTATCCCTTCTCCTCCTCCCTTCAAAAGCAAAGGGTCTGTTAAGCCGTTTCCTTTGCACTGGTCAGCACACCATCCTAGGCTCAGGAGACTCAACAAATGCTTTTTTTATGCCTCATGGAAAGTGCATACCCCAAGTTGTAAGTTTTTGTTAGCATCCGTTGAGTTTTGTCCGGGGTCAAGGGCAGGCCTGTGCTGCCCCATTGCCCTCCCACCGGTCTGGGTCAGCACTGCCCTGCTCCTGCGTGGGCCTTCTGCCTAGGATCCCTGGCCCCAGGTCCCTGGACTGCAGTGGAAATGCAAGGTCTCTGCCTGTTAAGCTGTCCTGGGGATCCTGTCTGCTGCCACAGGCTGACAGCAGTCCCTCGCTTGTCTCAGAAAGAGGCTTTTACTGAGAATTTTGCCAGCTTCGACACTCTTCAGGGCTGCCTGAAGGTTTATGTGAGAGCAGCTGCCAGGAATTTGTCTGAAATTGAGTTGCCTTCGGTTAACTAGAAGCTGCAGGCATTGGGCTTGTGGAAGAGGAACCCCAGATACTTGCATGGTTGAGGAGCAAAGCTGCCTTAAGTAAAGGGTGTGCATTTTTATAAAACGTTCTTATTTCAGTCTGGGTAAATGGTCTCTCCAAGGTCCTTGGGTTTCTATGTAGTTATGTCAGATGAGCATGTTATGAAGGTCTGGGGCTGATGCAGCCTGAATTCCCAATGAACCTCATAACCCTGTATAAAGCAAGCAGCCCGGGCTCAATCCTAGAAAACAAATGAGTATCACAAGCTGTCCAGGCCTTTGTCGTGTTTCCAGTGTTGGGTCGCTGAGGTTTTGTGGACCCTGAGACAAATCTCCCATCTGAAAAGACCAAATAAATACAACTGGAGAGCGAGCTTAAGCCCGAGTCGAAAGCCCATTAGGGAATTGTTGCTGGCATTGCTCTGAACAGTCTTCCCTCCACCAAGAGCAGCAGTCTTCTAAATGGACACATGTTAAAGGTTGACTCTCGGTCTCGTAAACATGCTCCTTGCACTTAGGCAATAATTCAGAACTTGCTTTGGACCAGAAACCCATTTTGTTGATTGAAGTAGCGTAGTGCATTTTCCTGCCAGGCCATTTGTCTGCCCAGCCTGCGTGGCCTGCGTTGTCGGGAGGCAGCAGGGTGAAGTGAAATCCATTCGTCCTGTTGGTGAGACTTTTTCCAGCTCCTCTCACCTTTAGACACGTGCACTTTTGCAGATAGTGACTTCATCCAAAAAAGAATCTCTTGGCCCAACAGTGAAGCTGGATATTCCACTCTGGAGGGTTTCATAGCCCTGACCTCCATCCCTGGAGGGTCTCTCCCTCCCGGGGCCCATGCAGTTCTCTGACAAAGGGACAAGGGCTGTGATTAAAGTTTTTTTTTTTTTAATCTTATAGAAGATAGAGGGAAGCATTAAATTATAGAGAAATAAAGGTAAGTAGTCAACAGCAAACAGTTGTATAGGTAACAGCACTGAAAGAGTCCTCTCCTTCCACCTGACACGTGAGGAACTAAGGCCCATGACATCAAAACCCGAAAAAGCCAGCACTTAACGCCCGTCCTAGGACTCAGACCACCGTCACCGCGTAGGCTCGATTCGCCAAGGTTTTTTAGAAATGCCCTGTGTCAGAAAGGTTGGATTTTTGTGTAAATGCTTAACTGGCTTGACGGGACCAGTGTCCGCAACCTCTTGACCGCTGATGCAGGTGCTGGCATCTCCAGGTCACGGAGAGTCCGCCCCTGCCCAGGGCGCTGGCAGCAAGTTCGGGCAGTGGTGAAGCTGCTGGTCCTGCGGTGGCCGCCGCGCTGGGCACTTGCTGCAGGGACTGCACCTTGGTGTCGGATGGTCAACGGTGCGTGCTGCACGTGGCACCCGGGACCCCTCCGCCCGTCTGGGGGTGGAGACCGCTGGGCCGAGGTGCCCTCGTTCCAGAGCCCCTTTCCCCTGTCCTCCGCCCTGGCAGCTCTTCCCACGGTGCCTTAGTTCCTTCCTGTGTCTGCCGCCCTCCACCCCGACCTGACGAGTAGTGGAGAGGAGTCTGACGTGCGGAGACCCAGGGCTGCTCCTTCCGTGGGGAACCTGACAGAACCCACTGGCTGCCATTCATTCACCTGCAGTAGACCTGTAGAATGTTCCAGCCGGGCCCGCCAGTGAACAAAGAAGGGGAGAGATAGATAACCAGAGGAAACTGGGCTCCCAGTCAAGTAATTTGAGTCTGGGTTCTGCAGGGATGGACTACCCTCCGATTCAGGCCGTTCTCTAAATTATTTAAGTGCAGCCAAGTCATTCTTCATCCCTGGCTGTCCGTCCCCCTTTGCATGCTGACTGCCAGAGGTGTCCCGTAGGCGGGCCGGCTTCCAGCCACAGAAACCAGGCCAAGCGGGCGAGTTTGACGGCACCTGTACTGTGGGGTGCCTGCGATGGCAGGTTTGGGTCACACAGAGGTCCCTAAGGGATGGAATCGTTGCCGCTGAGGACGTGTTCATCTTACAAATGACGTGCTGTGTTGCCACATCCCACCAGGGCAGTCACCACGTAGAGGTCACACTGACTGGCTGCAGAGCCCTCGGCCTGTTTCTCTCGAGGCCTTCCAAGAACAGTCTGGCGCAAGGGAAGCTCCCTTCCTTCTGTCTGCTGGGGGAGGGTGCACAGGAGCAGAGGGACGGAGGTCGCTGCTTCCCTTGCCTGGTGGGACTGGGTGGAGAGCGAACCTTTGACAACAGTCTATTTTTAAAAGTGTGTTGGGGCATTTCAGAAGTAAAGCAAAGTGCTGAAAATATGACGAGTGCCACCCAGAATTGGACAGTGGCTTAAAAGGTGGCACATCCTCTCAGACAGCCTGGGAGCGTGTTGTGAGGAGGAGGATTGAATCACAGCCTTCCCTCGTGCGGCCTGGCCCTGGGTGGTCCCTCGTTCACTCGCACTGGCCCCTGGTGATGGGCCAGCTGTGAGGATGAGCGTGTCGGGGCCACCGGGTCGGGTCCCCTGAGCACAGTGCTGTGGTGTCTCCCCCACGGAGGGGCTTCTGGGACAGTGGGCAGCACGGAGGAATGATGGGGAGTTACTGGCTCGAAGACCACAGAGATGGCTCCTAGGGCTGAAGTCCGTGTAGGGAACCTCACACTTGTGAGAAAATGCAGACTTGGCCCCAAGGACAGCTGGGTGGCATGGACCTCTTGCAGAATGGAGGAGACGGATGTCATTGGGCTTTTTCAGTGTTTCGCAAAAGATAGTTTAAAGAGATCAAAGGATAAAAATGAGCCCGGGCATCACCGGGCAGGGTTGGGATTAGCCGACGAGGTGGTGCGCACCTCGGGCCTCCCTCCGCTGGGCCAGAGTGTCGAGAGCGTATTATTTTTGTTTCCTGCTGCTGTTGGACGGACTTAGAAAGCTAGAAGCAGCTTGCCAGTTAATTCTTTTCCCTCTCTCTGTGTCTGCAGAAACTTGAAGGGTCTAAGTGCAAAGGGCAGCTTTTGATTTTTGGGGCAACCAACTGGGACTTGATTGGTCGAAAAGAAGTGCCTAAGCAACAAGGTAGGAGAAACAGTTCTAAAATACATGGAGCTGCTATTTCTTGCATGTTTCCTGTGTGATGGGTGTTCGGTTTAATTTGGTTACCATCCACCAGGGAGGTATTCTCTTTATTTACAAGAATGTTCAGAGACGCCAAGTAACTGTCCTGAGGCCACACAGCCACTCTAGGGATGGAGCTGGATTTCAACCCTTGTCTTGTATGAGCCTCTCACCTCACAATCCTGCTTAAAAAACAACAACAACAATTCCCTGAAGATTAAACAGAAAAAGATGAATAGTAGCCTCAAATAAACATGGACACCTTTTTCCCCAGTTCCCTTCTCATGTCACTTATTTTTATTTTACAAAAAGCTGGTACTGTGGGATGTCAAAATGCCCTAGACATTTGTCACATGTAAACTGTTAGACATTTTGGAAGAGTCCACATTTTGTAAGCTCCCAGATTGTCGCAGGGGCTGGTTTGACAGTGAGGTGCAGCCTGGAGTGGGGGGCAAAGAAGTCCCCAGAGGCTCCCAGAAAATCGTCTTTCCTCAGGAGAATGCAGGCCCGTCCCAGAGAAGCGAAGCTGGCGCAGCGCCACGTTTTATGGCTTCTTGATTTCATTTGGAGAGAGTCCCAACCTGCTTTCCAGCAGGGCCCAGTGAGCAAATATTTGCACCCGGACACTCCCTGGTGCCTCGGGCTGTGGGGATCATCCTATTCCGTGAAAACTGGAGTCTCCGCGCTTGCTCGGGGTCCAGCTGATTTAAAAGTGGGTCCTGCTGCGGGCAGTGCCCAGACTTGGGCCCACATGCCCCAGCTGTTGGCGTCACCAGGAAACCCCTCCCGGGGTGTGATGACCTCATCCTGCCAGCCCCGAGCATGCGTGGCATCTTTTCTCCAAGCTGCTCCCGCTGAGTGGCCCACTCAGCACAGCACTCGGCCCAGGGGGAGGCCTCCAGTGGGAGCCGTGGCCCAGCCGGGTTGTCGCCTGCTGGGTAGGAGGCTCGAGGTGGGGAGGCCGCCTTGTGGGTTACAAACTATCCCCAAGCTCTCGAAGGCATTTTGCCCTCTTTGGGCCCGTTTAAGAGACCTTTTTGTTTTCTCATTCCCAGCTTTGCTTTTGTTTTTTTTTTCTCTCTAAAGGGAGTTTATACTATTTAAAGATATTACAGAGTTTGGGGGTTTTTTTTGGTACATGCCCCTAGCGGGAACTGAACCCGGGACTCTCTGATCCACAGGCCGATCGATGCTGCAGCCGCTGAGCCAAACCGGCCAGGGCATGTTAGAGTATGTTCTAATATCTTTCAGCCCACCAAGGTGAAGCACATCACATTGACATTGGTTTTGGTACCACGCTTCCATTGGTTCTGCCCTCGTAATAAACCGACCTTGGGTTTCTCTTCGAGTTTTACTGTAACCCATGAAGGCCGTCATTTTTTTGATTTGCCCTTTCCCCAGGAAGTGGCTTTTCTTTCCACCTTTGGTAGGTCCTGCGCCCAGCCTGCCCTCCTGCCTGCCCCGCCCCTTGTCTGTAAATGAGAAGTCTCGGGTGGCGCCCTCTGCTGGTGGGGCGCAGGCAGGGTGGGGCTTGACACTGAATAATTGTGCAGAGACTTCCAGGGAGCCAGGAATTGATGGAGAGGCCAGCCCTTCGATCAGTCCCCATGCCCACATCAGCTGACACAGTCTGTTTGGCAGTGGCTAGCATTTCGTAATAGTCACCAGAGGCCTAGAGACGCGGTCACATTTCTGTCCTCGAGAGTCCCAAATAGAAAATATTCAGCCAAAAATTGGCCATGCCCCATCCACTAATAGGGCGAAGTGGGACTTTGAAGGAGGTAGCTATTTCTTCTTCCCTCCCACGCGCCCGTTGACATTCCTGAGTGCGTGCTTGTGCCGGGCTCGGGGAGGGCCTGGTGGCCAGTGCGGAGTGGGAGGGCAGCTGAGCTCAGCAGGGCAAGAGCTGTGACAGGATTCACCGGCACTGGTGTCCAGCAGTGACCGGTTGAAAGGAGGTGTGACGGGAGGCTTCGCAGAGGGTGGGGAGGGCTCTCCGGGGAAGTGAAGGCATGGGCAGAAGCCCCAGGAGTCGTGGCCTGGCCAGCACAGGGGGACCCCTGAGAAAGGAGCAAACCAGTGGCGGGAGGTGGCGGGCAGATGTGTCGCTGGGGCTCTTTGCACAGGGCCTGATAGGAGGCAGGTGGTTCCTCAGAGGATAGTGATGCTCAGAGTCCATCCAAAGGAGCCTCCTGGCTGCAGACAGCGGCCAGGAAGGTGAGGGAGACGACGCCAGGTTCACTGCCAGGCTTCCTGCCCCCCCCCCCCCCGCCCGGGCTGCAGCAGGGCAAGCACCCAGCCATTTGGCCACTTGCAGGTAGTGGTTTCCGTGGGCCTGAGGTCCCCATGGGGCAGGGTCGCAGATGGAGGTGGGATGGCGGTGTCCTCATGGCCACTGACCAGATCTGCCCCAGCCCAGGGGCAGTTTGTTGAAGGTGCTAGCTTCCCAGGCGGCTCTCCGAGGGCCCCTGCAGTTGTGCCACGGAGAGTGGACCCTGGGTGACTCGTGACGTTTTTGGGGGTGCTCTTCACCTGCATGTCACTACAGGCGTCAGATTTGCCTTCTTCTCTTTGCAGCTGCCTACCGCAATCTGGGCCAGAATTTGTGGGGGCCCCACAGATATGGGTGCCTGTCAGGGGTCCGGGTGCGGACGGTGGTTTCAGGGTCGTGCGCTGCCCACAGCCTCCTCATCACCACGGAAGGGAAGCTGTGGAGCTGGGGTAAGTAGGAGCCGGGCTGCGTGCTGGGGTGACTCATGCAGCCAGCCCCCCACAGGGCTGACTTCCTCCTTTGCCTCCTCTGACAGCACAGCTCGGATATTTGCAGAGCCCCCATTTCCTCTTCCTGATTCCCAACTAGTCCGTCTGTACCCTGCAAACACATCACCTCCCTCCACTTTTCTGCCTTTATTTTAGATCTGTGCGCAGCCCCTACTTCTTGGAATCCTTTTTAAGCGACCTTTCCATGAATATTCTGATTGAATCTGGGTCCTTCTGATACCAGGGTGCCTAGAACTGAATTGCTATTTCAGGCCTGCTGTTTCCCCAATAGACAGTCCCCCCTCTTGTTTTGCAGCACAGTGACGTAAGACGCCTGTTCTTGCCACTTTAAATGCCACCAGCTTTTATAACGGCCACATCATGACGTCAGGCCCGCGTCTTGTCTTCTCTGCCGTCCTGTTCCCCTTTCTGGGGGTCACACAGGTCTGCAGGTGCTGCAGCTCATTGCCTCTCTGTCCATTTCGTACTCTACTTCCCCAGACGGTTTGCTTTTCCCAACCTGACTGGCTTTCCCTGCTGCGGACAGCCTGGCCCGGGTACCTGGGAGGGCTCCCTGCCTGCAGCCCCGCCCCGCGTGCCTGCAGAGGGCTGCGTGCTCAGGGCCATGGCTCCTCCCAGGTCCGGGAGGTATTGACTGAGGCTCCGTTGATCCCCCCGCCCTCCTGGGGGTTCCTGGACTCTCCCTCCACCCTGTGTGCTGGCATTTGTCCCCGCCCTTTGTTTCTGGTCCTTTGGCTAGCTTTTCGTCCATATGACTGCGTTTTTATTTTGGTCTGTTTGAACCATTTTTTGCAATTTCATGAGCTGCTGTACCAAAGTTCAAATAGATTAACATCTGTTCTCCCTGCACTCTGCTAATTTTGTCATTCAGTGGGAAAAAAAAAGCTAACAAGCGTGTCTGGCCCAAATTCATCCTTTATGGTCTCTTGACGACATGCTGACATTGCCTTGGTTCGGTTGCCTCCCGGTTGGCAGAGGTGTGTCCCGCCCCCTCACCCTCCCGCCTCCGTTCCAGCCCCAGCGCAGGATCTGTCAGTCCCCACCTTTAAATGTCTGACTCCTGATCTCGACTGAATCTCACTTACATGGTGCTTCTAAAAATGTCCCCTCTGCTGACCCTGTGGGCGGGGAAGGATTCCGTGGACTGGCTGTCTAACCTGCCCTGGGGCAGAGCTGTCCCCATGAGCAGACGGTGCTGCAGGCGATGATGACGTGCCATGGGGATGTCACGAGGCCACTTCAGGGCTCGAGCATGAGTGCTGCACCGCACATCCCGAGGCCTGCACTGCGGCCAGCAGGCCCTGTTCGCCGCACCCTGGGGCTCCCCTAGAGGCTGGTGTCTGCCTCCTGCCAGGGGGCTGAGATCAGCCCGTGTCCAGACATGCTTTTCCTCGGGTAACCGGAGGCCGCTCACTGGCTCCGAAAGCCCTCTCCAGGACGACGGGTACTCGTATTTGTGGCTCTGCTCTGGTCGTTTCCTATGACCTAAGGGTCAAGTTCATTGTTGAGGAAGACTCTGAGGCTCTGAACCACCTTCCCCAAACTGCCCGGACTTTTGGGCCGTGTAGAACCATCCCACTTCTCTCAAATTGTTGAGTAGCAAGCTAGGTTTTCCCGTCGAGTTGTTTTGGTTGGGAGCTGTTGTAGCCTGCATTGAAAACGGGAAGGGTTAGGGGCGTCCGGGCTCCTGGCCCACACAACTCGCCATGTCTGCTTTGCAGCTGAAGGGCTTTGCCAGAGGGCCTGTGCATTGCGGACGACTCGGCGGCCCAGGTCACCTCCTTGGGCCTCCCTGCCACCTGGCCCCTAGCCAGCGCAGCTCCAGAGGGCTTGTGTTCAGAGTGGGTCTGGCCTGTGTCCATTGCTAGGGGTGATTCACGTGGGTGGGGGTCCTGTAGGGCCGTCCCTAGGAGGTGGGGTTGGCACTCTTCGGTGAGCTTCGTTTATAGGGCAGATAAAAGGAAGAGAAATGACAGGCAGAAACCAAATGGGCCACAGAAGATGCCCAGAGCACTAAAGTAATTAAACTCTTGCAAGGCAGGTGTCGAAATGGTTGTTTGCAGTGCAGGGAATGAGGGAATTGTCTGGCAGGCACCGTGAGAAGTGAGAACTGAGTTTCCATGAGCCCTTTTGCTTGCGTGACATCAGGCCAAACGGAAGTGCTCGCGATGGGTCCTTCCTGCCGCCCCAGCAAAGAGGGTCAGAGAAACTGACAGAGGCCGCTGGTGGCTGTGGTGGAGACGTCCCTGGGGACCCTGGGCAGGCCGGCCATCCACTGAGAAACCGGTGCTTCCTTTCTCCTCGGCTGTCGCACTGCGGGGGGCACCTTCTGGGGGACCAGATTTGCCCCGGTTTGAGGGTCCCCACTTGCCCTGGGAAGCTGTTCTGGCCACCCTTTCTTCTTCCCACTTCATCTCGCTCCCGATCTGCAGGGCGGAATGAGAAGGGGCAGCTGGGACATGGCGACACCAAGAGAGTTGAAGCCCCCAGACTCATCGAGGGTCTCAGCCACGAAGTGATTGTGTCAGCGGCCTGTGGGCGGAACCACACCCTGGCCTTGACCGGTAAGGAGGGCTGGTTTCTGCCTCAGGTGGTCTTCAGGTGGTGGGGTAGAGTCGTCCGCGGGTGCTTCCAAAGGGTGGGGAGGTCGAGGCTTCAAGGAGGCGGAGGCCCAGGCAGAGCCCCGGGTGTTCCTGCCGGGAAGCGGTTGTGCCCGGAGCCAGCAGGCCCCCACCTTTGGAATAAAGACCATCTCGCTTCAGTCCTGGCAAAGGAGCAGTTCTTATTGGGAGCCTCTGGTCCAAATCCCGATCAGAACCCGCAGCATTACTTTCCCTTCTGCATGTCCTTTCTTTCCAGAAACGGGCTCCGTGTTTGCGTTTGGAGAGAACAAGATGGGGCAGCTGGGCCTGGGCAACCAGACGGACGCCGTCCCGAGCCCCGCACAGGTACCGTGCTCTCCCCACCCCGATGGCCTCTGTTCGTGTCGGGTGAGCGCCTGGATGGCTCTTGATCCTCGTGCAGAGGCTACATGCTGTCGTCTTCAAAACAGGTCGTAATGAATGTCCACAGTCGGAAAAGACCTTGAAAACAGTTTCTTTCTGAGTGAAGTGATTTGTTAGAGGCCTTGTTTTAAGCCCGTCCTGTCCCAAAGAAAGAAGAAATGTTAGGTGGACGCGATCAGTTTATCTGCCAGTAGTCGCTGGCCAGGTGCTCAGCACACAAACAGGAGTTAGAGGGGTGGGGATTGTACCTAGGAAATGCACTGATACCAGGCAGCAGAATGCTAGCAAGTGTTCGATGAGTGGGTTTAATAATGGACTCAGATTTATTTCTTGGTCTTAAAAAGAAACAAAAACCAGGACTGGTCTGTGTTTGGAAGGATTTCTGGAGCGTTCCCGCCTTAGCCCTGTGCTCTGCGGCAGGACATGAGATTCTAGAGAAGCAGGGAGGGCGGACGGGGCACGGGGCCCCCCCACCCCCAGCTCCACGGCTGAGTCCCGCTCCTTGTCGAGGGCTTTCCCAGGCTCAGCCGTGCGCACGAATTCGGGGTCTTTGCTGTCTTCTAACTTCTAATTTTGAACCAGTTTGTTTATTGCTCACACCTTCAGTTAATACCATTGGTCGAGTGTCTACAGAGGGAAGGGGAATGTGCATAGTTCATTTGCTGGTTGGCAGGGACACTCACAAGAGATTTGAGGGTGCATGTTGGTGAGTTTCCATTTTCTTTTGCCCTCATGCTCACGCTGGTCAGTTGAATTTCGTGGTCACTGGGCACCAGGATGTGCAAGGCTCAGTGTTGGCTGTTTTGAGGGTTCAAGTGACAAAGACCTGGGACACGGTTTACCTATCCTTGAACCTACTCTAGTGTGGAAAGGTAGGGGTCACGAGGGCCTTTCTTTATATTCTAAGCTTTTGCCTTCAGAATTGTGGAGTCCATTAAATTTCTTCCGTAGCCTAGTAATTGTTTCAGTACCAACCAGAGAGGCAGAGACTTCTTATTAATCAACCTTAAAAAAAAAAGCCTGAAAGTCTGCTGTCTTTTCTTTTCAGATAATGTACAACGGCCAGCCAATCACCAAGATGGCCTGTGGGGCTGAATTCAGTATGATAATGGATTGCAAAGGAAACCTCTATTCCTTTGGGTGTCCTGAATATGGTCAGCTGGGTATGAAAGTGTATTTTTTCAAAGCTCTGTAATCTAACTGTATATTTAGAACCGAAGTCAGTGTGAGGCTGCACACGTGTTAGAAATGTGGGTAATTGATCGCGAATAATAGCCCTGGTCCATTAAGTGGGTCTCGTGCTCGGGGGAACAGCGTGGCGTAACTCACGGGGCCGTGCGGGGTGGTAGTGACTTGCCTTAAAGAAAAAGTCAGGCTCCAGTCTGACAAGAGCCTTTCTTCTGGTTTGGGAGTTCATTTATATATGCAAGAATTTCAAAGTGGAGAAAGGGATCAAACCACCTCCATTCAGTTTCCTATTGAAAGATTGGCTTTTATTGAAAATGGAAATAATGCCAGATTACGGTTGTTCTGGAAACCCTCTCCTGGGCCAGCATTTCCAGTAGGCACCCGGGGAGCCACATGTTTGGGGGGAAAGCCACGTGTAAAAGTGACTGGCATCCCTTCCCCTTTTCATCCCTGAGCAGCATGTACTCATCCGAAAACATGTACTTATATCTCGTTGAATAGAAAAGAAAAACTCAGCAGTTCGCAGCACTTCTCAATAAGTGGAAAAGGTCTCCATCCTGATCTCACAAGGTCTCCATTTTCTTTCCTATCTGACACCAGTGTCTCCCCCTCCTGGCCCCTTCCCACCGCCTCGGCCCTTCCGAGGAGGCGGCGGGGCGTGGGCGCCCTCTGCTGGTTCCCTGCTGCGTGCCACTCCAGCTCCCTGGCCCCCGGATCTGGGTTGCTGGGGCTCGGCGTCATTAAAAGCAGACAGATGGAAGGCTGTATAAATAGAAGGAGGAGCATCTTGCTGGCCTTAGACTTTAGGGAACAGTGACTTTGTGAAACTAAATATACCTCAAGTCAGAAACAAATAAGAAAGAACAGCCCCTTACGCACATTCAGTGCTGGTTTCCAGGGAGTTGCCAGAGACTGTCGGAGAGACCGTTTCCATAGCCACAGGCCCTCATGCTGTCCCCAGCCCCGAGCAAAACACCAGCATTCCCGTCTACTTCCCGGCGCGGCTCCCCTGCTGCTGGTGGCTGCCCCAGATCTGCGCACACGCGGCTGTGGGAGCAGTTTGATTTTCCTTCGGGGAGAATGAAGTATGTTGGTGATGAAAGTGGTAGCACTTAGTTACTGAGCACCAGTCGCCATCTGAGTACCTATGCAGAATCTCATCTGGGTAGTTTAGACTCATTTAAAGGTATCGAGGCGTCGGCGTGGTTTATATCTGTGGAATTCATTATTCGTTACCTGCCAGCTTGCAAACCTGTTTTCAGTCTTGTGCAAATCCAGAGAGGTCTTGTGGGATTGGAACGTGAATGTGACCTGGGAGAAGGGCAGCCAGCGCCCCCGCCCGAGCCCGCGCTCCCTCCCCCATCGCATTAGGCCAGACAAGGCAAAGACGAGAACATGCCAGTGCACTATTTTACCAACCACAATACATTTAGGTTACTAGTAATGCATAAGAACGCATGTCTGGGCTCGTGTTGAACTTTTCTGTCCATTCTCGGCCTTGTCCAGGGGCTCTTTGAAGGCCCCAAGTCAGGCACAGACCATTCCTTTAGACCAGTAGCTTCCAACTTTGCAGCCATGGTATGAAGTACATTCTACATTGCCACCCAGTCTGAGTGTAGGAACACACACACACACAAATAACGTCCTTACTGTAGACAGCATCCTTTGGTGTTTTTCTCAATTCATTAAAAAAATTTACTGAATAACTGGTTTCCACCCACAACGTTGATTTCATGGCCACTAACGGGGCCATGTCTCAGATTGGAGAATGCTGCCTTAGTTGGCAAAGGTGCCCTCTTGAGACCCTAGCTGGCCAGGTTGGGGCAGGTGCTCGGCCTGCTGCTGGGGCTGCTGCTGACCCCTGGCTCTGGTCGCTGCAGGACACAACTCGGATGGGAAATTCATCGCCCGGGCGCAGCGGATAGAGTACGACTGTGAGCTGGTGCCCCGGCGAGTGGCCATCTTCATCGAGAAGACGAAAGACGGGCAGATCCTGCCCGTCCCCAACGTGGTTGTCCGAGATGTGGCCTGTGGCGCGAACCACACGGTGAGTCCTGAGTGTTTGACTTGCTGCTTCTGCCCGAGTCTCCCTCCGCGAGGAGGTGTGTTCTCCCTGCCCGGCCCCTGACGTGGCCGCTTTTTCCTGCCTCAGAGACATGGCTGAGCGCTCAGGCGTGTTGGGTCGGGGTCACAGTGTGTTCCTGCTGTGCTTTTGTCTAGCAGAGCAGCATGGGTGGATAGACAGGTCCTGTACTAGAGATGTTGAGTGGTTTTTTATAAATAGTTTTTAAGTATCCAAGTGGTTTTCTTAAGGTCACTGTAGGCAGATGACAGTATACGTCGTATTTAAATACCTCTTTATGTCAGCGGCCTCCTTGCAGCCCTTCTGCTGAGAGTCCCTTTGAGTCCCACCTGGTTTCTCTTGAAAGAGCCGCGGGCCTGGGAGTCCGGAGACCACGCTGGTGGCAGCCGACTGGCTGGGTGGCCCGGGCGCAGCTCCTGCCCCGGAGTCATCCTCTCCGTCTGGTGCTTGACAAGGCGAATCCGGTCGCATGAAGTCTGAAACAGTCCAGTCAGAAGTCAAGTCAGATCTTGCTTAGGCCTCTTCCATCAGATTGTTCTGCTAGGGGGTAGTTCACATGATTCAAACATTAAACATGGAAGGTACTATGAAGAAGATAGGTTTTAGGTTGAGATGGCCGAGCCCCTGCAGGGCAGGCGGAGGCGGCCTGTGTGCCGGGCGGGAGTCTGCAGGCGAGGGGCAGGCGTCTCGGGCCTCGCTGGTCAGGAAACGGGCGCGTCGGCCTGCTCTGGACACAGCCCTCTTCTGATGAGGGGACAGAAAGACTGAGTCATCGAGGAGACCTATCCCCAGCAGGGCAAACCACATGGTCCTTGAGTCGCTGCTCCTCCCCACACGTGGGCTCTGGCGGGACAGCATCTCTCCAGTGTTCCGGCTCCTTTGCCGTTGGCTGCTTCCCCAGAACAGGGACGAGGACCCGCTGACCCCCGCTGGCGGGCCCGTCCCCACCGGGTGTTCTCTCCTGCAGCTGGTCCTAGACTCCCAGAAGCGCGTCTTCTCCTGGGGCTTCGGTGGCTACGGCCGGCTGGGCCACGCCGAGCAGAAGGATGAGATGGTGCCCCGCCTGGTGAAGCTGTTCGACTTGCCTGGGCGCGGGGCGTCCCAGATCTACGCCGGCTACACCTGCTCCTTCGCCGTCAGTGAAGTGGGTGAGTCACTTCCCCATTGGCCACAGGAGAAGGTGCCCGGAGGTTCCCCTCCCGGCAGTAAGAGCCGAAGCCATTGTCCTGTTCCAAGCCCGGGAGCCCGGGTGGCATTGGTGTCCTCCCAGGGTTCTGTCAATGCAGCACCTTTGTCACAGGTGCTCTGCACCTTGTATGCTGCCCTGTCCTGTCGCCTTTCTCACTGATTAGTCGCTGAAGGTGAGAATTCAGCTCTTGAGATGTCTGCTCACAGTGGGGCCGTGTTTGTCTTCTCCAGGTGGTCTGTTTTTCTGGGGGGCCACCAACACGTCCCGTGAGTCCACAATGTATCCGAAGGCCGTGCAGGACCTTTGTGGCTGGAGAATCCGGAGCCTGGCTTGTGGGTATGTAGCAGTGTCTCCTGGTGAGCAGGACTGGCCCCGGGCTTGTTGGACACACCAGGAAATGCCTCGTCCCTGGACTGTGCGGCTGTCCTGATATTGGGGCACCGATGCCCTGAATCCCGAGTCCAGGAGGCCGGGGCCTGTGTGGTCCAGGGGGTGGCAGGTCCGGAGTAGGTGGCCCGTTTCACTGCCCTCAGGAAAGTCGTTGTGAAGGTTTTGCTTGTTCTTCGGAGGTTTGGTGTGCTCTGCTCATAGTTCAGGTTCAAAAGTGTGTGTATTTGGGAATACGGTGGGTTTTTAGTGTCCCTAACGCACTGGTAAGAAAAAACTAAGGTCTGATTTTCACATTATTTTGAGGAGCCTTGTCGAGCTGTCCAGGTCTTGGTGAGGGGTTTATGGCAAGTGGTGCACAGGGTGTCGAGTGAACACTCGTGGGGCGTGGCTTGGATCTGTCAGAATCTCTGCCCCCCCCAATAACAGTGTGGTTCCACCCCATTGGAACGCGCTTCCCACTTCATCCTGATTTGGTGTCCTTTTCCCAGTGTTCGCTCAGAAGTGACTCCCGCACCCCCTAGAGCCGGGGTGGCAGCGTCCTGTGTGAGGCTCTGCAGTCGGGGGCCGTGAGGGCCCGAGAACCCTGCTAGCCCCTGGGAAGTCAGCACGGAGCTTTAAAGGGACGTACACGATCTTACAGCTCATAAGCCGGACCTCGTTCCTGAGCAGGAGCCTGCAGTAGCTCTGCTGGCCGGGTCTGGCGCGGGGCTCGGGCTGCGGCCTTGGTGACCGCCTGTGCTGTTTGCAGGAAGAGCAGCATCATCGTGGCCGCGGACGAGAGCACGATCAGCTGGGGCCCGTCGCCGACCTTCGGGGAGCTGGTGAGCTGGCCCCGGGTGGGCTCCTGGGCACGTAGAAGGTGGGACACGTCTCTCCTCCTGCAGTCAGGGCTGCGATAGCCTCCAGTCTTTGCGTACATCAGCTTTAAAGACCAGTCTGTGCCCGTCAAATACAGCTGACCCTTGAACAGCACAGCTGGGCTGCACAGGTCGTGGACCGCACAGGTCAGGGTGACCCCCCAGGGCGGGGGTCCACGTATGCAGAGGGCCGGCTGCCGTGGGAAAGTCCCCTCTGTCCCGCTGGAGCGTGGAAGCAGGAAGAATCGGACCTTGTTTCCCTTGCATTTTGATCCATGGTGCACAAGGTGACAGGAAGAGCGGTGGGTGCCCTTCTTGTCCCTCTCCAGGAGGGTCGGGCCGAGGGACAGTGTCCTTTACACTGTGGTGAGCAGCACTGACTCCTCTGCTCTTCCCCTGGGTCCTCGGAGCCTGTTTAGCTCCATAAGCAGCCTTGCTCTGTCACAGAGCCACGGGCCATCGGGCCAGCCCCTTAGGTCAGCTGGGGACATTTCTTCTTTCTTTTTCCTAAATAAGTTTAATTCTGTATTCCTTGCTTTCCCTCCCGCCCCCACCTAATTTTTTTTCTTTATTAATTTTGAGAGAGAAAGGAAGGAAGAGGGAGAGGGAGAGAGAAAAACATCGATGAGAGAGAACATCGACTGGCTGCTTCCTGCCTGCCCCCCACTGGGGATCGGGCCCACAACCTGGGCATGCGCCCTGCCCGGGAATCAAACCAGCAGCCTCTTAGTACATGGGTCGACGCTCAAGCACTGAGCCATGTGGGCTGGGCTGTCTGTGTTCCCAGCTTTTTAGCTCATTTACTTGAGTGATCAGAACCATGCTCAGTCTCTCAGACTTGGCCTTCCCAGCCAAATGCCCCTGCTCTCGGGCTCCGATGCTCGGGGGCCTTGCCTTCCTGTGTCCTCCTCGAGAACAGCTCGCTGTGGCCCGCCCTGAAGGCTGCCTGTTCTGCCTGGGATTTGATCCTCAGCCCGGCTCTCGTAGTTCCTGCCGGGAACACCGTCTGTCTCTCTCCCTCCCGTCTCCCTCCTGTTGCCAGCGGGAGCTGATGGGGTGATGGAGACAACAGAAGGACTTGCTCTCTTCAGCTGTCTCCAGGGCCACTGGGCTACAGGCCTTTTCCTGGATGCTGTGCACCCACTTTTAGTCTGGCTTCTGAGGGGTTCGCATGTGGAACTCTGGCCCAGTTTTGATGGACTGTTCTTCAATAAGGGGCCTGAGACAGAATCTGAAACTAGAGGGGAAGGAGAGGGACTTGGGGGCCGCCTCTCCCGGTGAGAAGATGGCAGATGAGCAGCCACTCCCTGTAGGGAAGGCACAAGGCGGGGCCTGGGGCAGGCGGAGCTGGGGAGGGGTCAGTCCTTCCTCGCCTGCCCTGTGTCTCACTGTCAGCTGAGCGCCCAGGTCTGCCCGCATCATCATCCACCTCTGCACGTGACCCCCACCCCACTGCCTCCCCCAACAGTCCTGGACCAGCTCTTCGTCCCTGGTGGGGCGGCAGTGTCATTACTAGCAATGGATGGTGGCTATTTGGTCTCCAGCCCTCAAGGTGGGCAGGTAGAGGGACACCATCCCTGGGCGCATGATGGTGTCTCACCAGTGAGACTCCCCAAAAGTTACCTGTTACCACATAAATCCCCAGAGACGTTCCAGTTCTTACTGTCTTTCTGCCTCAAGAACTAGTCGGTTGTTGGGTGAAGACTCCCGGCTCGGCCTGGCTCTCATGTCCCAGAGCAGCGGGGTTAGTGGGCTGCGCCAGTGAGCCCAGTCCTGTGAGCATCTCCTGTTCCTTTGCCAGGGCTACGGGGACCACAAGCCCAAGTCTTCCACAGCAGCCCAGGAGGTGAAGACGCTGGACGGCATTTTCACAGAGCAGGTGAGCGGGGACTCAGCCCTGTGAGAAGCTAAGGGCGCTGGTAGCCCAGGAACGTGCCGGTTCCCATCTTCCTGTCCGCATCTCTGGTCTGTGTCCAGGCGTTCTGAGGGGCGACAGCTGTCAGCACAGGCCCTGGCCAGGCTCCGGGGCCTTCTTGCCCTGAGCGACACTGGCCCCGGTCCAGCCACCAAGTGGATTTGCTCCAAGGCGAATCCGTTCTCAGGCTGGCCTTGTAGCTGCGCCCGAGACTGCACACCCGCCGGCTGGGGGCCGATGGTGGGGTGAGGCCCTTCTCTGCTGTCAGGTGTGCCAGGCTGCCAGCCCTGTTTGCAGAGACGCAGATGGCGTGTGCACCCTCACACACGACAGGGCTGTGGTCCAGAGAGGCGGCCAGAGCAGGGAGCGGGGGCCCGCGTGTCCGCCAGTCCCTGCTTGGTGGGCCTCCCTCCAGTTCCTCCCGCCGCCTGGCGCGCGTCCATTGGCAGGGTGCTGGTGGCGGGTCACATTGGACCAGTGGCCTTTAGTAAAGGGATTTTATGCACTTGCCAGGCGTCCTCCCATTTTTCTTCGTATTGACCCAGTTTGCTCACCCAGCTGGCTGTCCCGTTGTCTGCCGTGTGTCTGTCTGCCCCAGACTCACGCCTGCCTGTGTGCCAGTGCGCCCTTGCACACCCAGCGCCAATTTGTCCCCCAGGTTGCCATGGGCTACTCGCACTCCTTGGTGATAGCGAGAGACGAAAGCGAGACCGAGAAGGAGAAGATCAAGAAACTGCCCGAGTATAACCCCCGCACCCTCTGACCGTCCCGAGTCTCGCTCCTCCCCTCGCGGCAGCTGTCATTTCCACGAGCACTGGGACCGGAAGTCAGACGAGGAATTGAACAAGCAGAAGTTGACCGAAGGTGCATTTTTGTTAGACTCCCTGAGGTTCCGTTTTATAAGTGATTCAACGTCAACTACCTTTTCTGTATGCTTTCCAAAGTGTTTTTTTCTCTCTTAATGTTTAATTAAAGTATTTGCTCATAGTTGACTTACACCATTCCTACAAGAGGCAGAAACTTTGAGCAATTCAGTTTTTTTTTTTTTTAAGTTTTTCTCCCCCCACCCCCCAAATATACTTCTGAAAACTCCTTTGCAGTTGTAATTAGCATTGTGATCTGAGTGGGTGCTGCCTGGGACTGGAGTCGCCATTTACTCAGAACAAAATGTCCCTTAGGGGAACTGGCAGCATTTTGGCAAAGAGGGTCCCTGGTGGCCCATCTCTGTCCAGACTCATGCCCACGGCTTTGGAAGCATCTGGGTCACTTCCTTCCGCTTTTTCTTGTAGACCAGCTGGGTCGGCCTTGGTTCTGTTCCCCCCTTGGCTGCTTGTAAGCCCCACCGCCTTTTGGCTGCAACGTTAATAGAATCTGCCATCTCCCCCCAGGTGGGGGCTCTGGGTGTGTGTTTAGCCATTTGTACCTACTTGACCTGTAAGTGAAGTCCAAGGGGAAATCAGGTGACCGTGGAGCGGGGCTCGGGGTGGGCATCGTGTCTGGTTCCAGACCAGCTTCCAGGTTCCTCGGAGGAGCCAGGCCGCCTGGCCAGCACTCGCCGCGAGAGATCGATCAGCCAGCAGTTCAAGTGCATTCCGGAGTCCTCGCGGAGAGAGACCAGCCCTGTGTGCCGTCCGTCGCGCCTTTGTGCTTGCCCCCCCCCCCCAATTCGGCTGGAGACTCGGGTTCCAGTTCTGCTCACCCCGCTCTCTAGTCACATTTGCTTGGCTGTGGTACCAAATAGATGGGGTTATGAAGAAGTCCCTTCCCCGCATGTCCGCGCAGAGACTGTGACTGCCACCCGGCTGCCCGCCAAGTGCCCTCTGCCCGAGCTCGTCCCCAGCGCTGCGCTCCTGAGTTACAAGGTGCCTTTCTCTCACCTGGACCCAAGAGAGGTGACAGCTCTGGCTGGGCTCTTGGTTTCGAGAGGGTCTGGACTGGTTTGGGTGCTTTAAAATAGGTTTTTTAGTTCAGTGGTGCTTCTGGGGGAGATGGGGATAGAACCAGTGTGAGGCTTGGGTGGATGGGAAAGTTAAATATTGGGTCTTTTTTAATTTTTTGCTTTGCTGTTGTTACCACTTGTCATTGTCTTGATGTTAAAATGCCAAAAATGATCCGGTTGTCGCTTTCCCCCATTTCTGCGCATCCTCCGTTCCTCCTCACTTGGCCTCTGCCTTTGCGGGGCACCCCAGTCGGTCCCGGCCAGCCCGAGGCCTCGCGTGAGGCGGCCGCCTGCCTCCAGGCGCAGCCTGACACATGCTCATCTCTGCGGTCCTGGGTTGTCGTAGTCAGGGGAGGCGCTTCTGCTAAACTAACCCGATTTGTCCAAATCACCCCAGAACCACCGTCTCTAACTCAAGCTCTTCCTGTTGTGGAACCCGTTTCCCTGGGCAAGTCTCTCTGTTGGAATGGGGTTAGGTGCCTGTGCCCCCCGGACCTGCACTGCCTCCCTTGGGTCGTGCAGTCACCGAGCGGGTGGCGGGAGCCACAGCCTGGGTCCTGGCTGTTGCAGGAGCTGCCCTTGGCCAAGCAGGGCTTCGATCTTCAGTGGACTAGTCTGAAGCCCACCGCCAGCCGATTCGAGAACCCCGGTCGGACTGAGCAGGAAAGGGATGCATGAGCCTTCCGAGTGAAGACGGGCCTCCTCTCACGCCCCTCCTTTTGGCTCAGCTTTCCGATGAACTTCCTAATGGGGAAACCTGTAGATCAAGGACGGGGTGGTGGCCCTGCACTCCAAGAGGAAGGGGCGGAGGGACCGAGCTGAGAGCGCTTGGCGCTGACCCGGGGGCTTGCCGAGTCTTCCAGCTCAGAATGGATTTGGAAGAAGAGGTGTAGAGTGAAGGGGAATCGGAGAGGTTGTGGTTTGGTCGAAGGTGCCTGGTTTAGTGCTGTAATTGTCTTATTTTTTTTATATATATATTTCTTGGAGTAAACATTTTAAATAAACGACATCATTGTTTACTCTGTTTTGGCTTTTGTGCTTATTTGTCGGTAGAATGAAGCTAAGAACACGATCAACTCCATTTTCTCGGTTCCCGCACCTGCGCCCTGGGCTGCCACGCCCGCCGAGGCTGCCACGCCCGCCGAGGCTCCCAGGAGGACCAGCCCGGGCCACGGGTCCTCTCAGCTTCCAGGCTTAAGCCGTATTGGGGCTGGGAAGTGAGGGGGGCTCCCAACTCTGTCCCTGCACAGGAAGGGTCAGCACCTCACTGGCCCAAACTCAAAAGCAAGGTTTTATATTGCCGCTTTGGGGCCTTGGGAGGATGAGGGCGTGGAAAGCACCGGAACGGTGGCTGTGTGCGCCCAGAAACATCATTTCTCGCCCTCACCCACCAACTCTTCAAAAAGGAACCTGGGTACGAGAGTTGGTCACAAGTGTGCCCCTTCAGCCGGCTTTGGCCCCTTCCCTATGGTGTGCCCAGCTGTCCAACAGGGCCCCAGGGGCTGGCTGTGCATCAGAGGCCCCAGGCATTTTCTGTTCTGCCCCCGTGGCTAAGCTGCACTGCCCACCCGGCCCCTGCGACCACCATTCCGACACTCGTCACCCATTTGTGGGGACCTAGACACGGGCCACTTTATGTCGTCAGACGGACCCCTCCCAGGAGGCATTGCCCCCATTGCAGCACCTAGACTGCTTGGAGCTTCCCATCAGCAGGACGGTGGTTGTAGCTTCTCAGAACATTTAATAGCATCTTAGAGCCGTTAACGCAGGCAGGCAGATGGGAACAGGCAGCTTCCCGCCCCAGAGTGGGCCTGTTCTCTCCTGGACACTTCAGCGTAATGCAGTCGACCCTTGTACCTGGACCCTGGAGACCAGGGCCCCCCTCAGCCGGGACCAACCCACTGGGCTCAAGCTTCCAGACCTTTGTCTCCTGCTTTTACCAGAGAATTCAAACCACCTATTCCTACCACTTCCCACAGCAGGCGGACATGAAGGCTGAGGTGGACGCAGCAGCTTGGTAGCCTAGTGCCTGCCCCCACCAGTAGGGCAGCCTGAACACAGGTGTCCCAGCTCCCGCCTCCATCCTTAAATGTTCCCCCTTCCCCCAAACAAGTCGGCCACTGCCCGAGTGCATTCAGAACAGCTAGTGCTTTAATGAGCAGCTGTGGCCACTTCTCGCTGAAGAATTCCCATCTTTCCCCAAGGGGTTTGAGCTGCCCAGCATTCGCCACCCCACTGCATTCAGTGGGGGCAGCGGGGGTACAGTGTAAGGAAGGGGTGATATCTCAACTCTCCAGCCCCCGAGCCGAGGGACAGGCCGTTTATGCCGGGGCAGGGCTGGCCGCGCCAGGCCTGGGCTAAGGCACCAGACTCCACCATTTGTAGGCAAAGGGCACCCGGCGGACGTTGGCACAGGCGCAGAAGTCTCCGACTTCAGTCATGTAGCAGTCAAAGTCGTTAATGAAGGTGCATTTGAAGCCCAGGGGCTCCAGCAACTGGCAGATCTTTGCTTCCAGGCAGCAGGTGCCCCTGATCTGGGGCCCAAAAGGCTTGGGGATGCCCAGGTTCTTGCCCATCACAATCACCCGTAGCTGTCAAAGAGACAGATGGGCAAGGCCTGGATGGGCTGGAGGCACGGAAGGAAGGGCCCAGGGGTGCAATGCAAGGGAAACCCAGCTGCCTCCGGTTGGACTAGACCAGCTCTTCTCCAGGCCTGTGTTCGGGCAGACACCACTCGTCCATCTCCGCAAGTCCAGCTCATCTCTGAAGCTTAGGCCAAGGGCCCGCCCCAAACCACAGCCTGCCAACTTCCCTGGTTCCTTCCTCTACCACATGTCTCATTCTGGCCTTGTCTCCTTTGTGCCATATTCCTGCTCCCTCTACTGGAGCGTGCCCCGCCCTGAGCTTTACCCGTGGGCTTTGTCCATCTCTTCCTGAGAGCAGCTCCCACCGAGGCCCCCATCTACCCCAGGGCCCACGGCGGGCGCCTGGGTCGTGCCCAAAGGGCCTCTGGTCTGGTGAAATTAGCAGATGCCCATGTGACAATGCCGGGCCTGGGTCCCTGGGCCTCAGAACAGGTCTGCAAGTGCCCAGGGACTGATGAGCTCAACTGTCTCTGTGCTAAGTGCCTCGTGGTGGGTCCGCTGTGTGAGGTCATGGAGGCCAGGGTTGGAGTGGGCTGGGCACAGCCGGGGTCACCCCCCCCACACACACACACACACAGAGCCAATGTCTTCCCTAGTCTACGTAGGCGCAGTGTAACGAGTGTGAGCACTTCCGTGTTCCCAACGCTGCCCCGTCACAGGCTATGTGGACAGGAGAGCCCGTCTTGGGGAGCATGCCGACCCTCAGCCTGCAGTTTGCCCCCTCGTCTCTGGTGGTAGCACAGTGACTACCCCCTGTGGCTGGGGATTAGCCCACGGTCACTGCTTGGCAAGTCACCCGCCTGGGCCCTGCTCACTACATGGCGGGGTGGGGTCTTCCCTCCACCTTACTTCCTCTCCGGCGTCCTGGCCTGCTCTGCCCCCACCCAGGGGCTGCCCACCCGCCCGCCGTGCCTCTCACCAGGTTGGGGAAGAAGGGCCGGGCGTAGAGTTTGCCGGTCTGCTCCTTGGAGGGGACGTTCGTCAGCTGCTCCAAGCAGAAGAGCTGGGGGACGTCGATGATGTGCCGCTCCAGCAGGCCCAGCTCCCGCTTCAGGACGTCCCGGTTCAGGTTAATGCACTTCTGGGGGGGGGGGGGATGCGCTCATGGGAATGGAGGGGCGTGGCCTGAAGCAGCGCCCACCTTTGGCACTCGTCGCGTGGGGGAGCCTTACGTGGCATGCCAGCCTTCGGGAGTGGGCCCAGTTCCCCTTCCCGAGAGGAAGTGGGGCCTCGAGCAAAGGCCTGGTCTCGGGAGGCCAGCACCTCACAGGCGGCAGCTGGGGCAGGTGCTCGTCCTCATTCTGCAGCATGGTCCCCTTTGGCCAGGTGGGGGGATGGGCAAGGGCGTGAAGAAGCCCTTGGACCAAGGCACTCTGCTTCCCTCCTTGGGGGGACAGGAGCAGCCGCCCCACTCAGGACACTGCCTGCCCGACACCGGAGCATTTCCCTGCTCTGACAGGCCTGGGGACCACCAGCCCAGGGTACTGTCAAGGGCAGTTTTGACACCATGCCTGGTCAGTACCACCCTGCTCTGCCAGGAGGCCTCCCCTGTTTTTGCAAAGGTCAGGGCACCTGACCACACCTTGGCCAGGAGCCATCAAGACCCAGTGGGCAAAGCAGTTTTGTGCTGACCACGTGACCCTGGGCAACTCTGCCCTTCTCTGGGCCTTGGCTTCCCTTCTCGGAGTTAGGCAGTCCCTTCTGGGAACGCCTGCGCTTCTCAGCCTGCGATCCACACTTCCAGAGATCCGAGGTACCGGTGAACCTGAACACCGAGCTGACGGCCGGCACTCAGCTTCTTAGAGAAGTCGGGCGGGGCCTCTGCCCAGAGGCTGCTGAGCCACAGCCCTGTTCTCTGGTCACACAAGGTGGGTACCAGTGAATGAGCGTGAACTTGGCAGTCCCACAGGTCTAAACCCAGTACCCCGACTCATTGGCTTAGGCCAGTGACCTTACTCCGAGCCTGACACACACGACGGGTTTGACTTCCCAGGGTTATTTCGAGGATTCTATTGCTTGATGCCTGGGTTGTAGTAGTTGCTCAGTTAGGAACTTATCCACATCTCCTTTCTGGAGAAGGCCCCTCACCGACCTGGCACCTACCTCCACGTAGTCGTTCTGCTTTCTCATGTCTTCATCGGCCAGGATCTGATTGATGGTATTAGCCTGCCTCCCTGGAGGGGAAGAGAAGGCAGACAGGCCTATAGGGCAGGGAGCGGACAACATGGTCCAGGGCTGGGCAGGCTGGCTATATTTTTGGACCAGTGACTAGAGTGGGTGGCCTGGCTCGTCTCCAGGGACCCACCTAGGTCAGATGTCACATCTAGGGACTGAACAGGGTCCATGAAAGCCCAGGCAGACTTTTACTGCCGCCAGCTACTCTGTCCCTGGGGGAGGCAGCCTGAACAGGTTAGCTTTGGCCCACTCACCTCTTACCTGGGCACCTCCATGCAATCTGTGGCCTGTACAGCCAGGCTAACCTGTGATCTTGACCCTTGACCAAGTTATTTAACTTTGCTCCCCAGTTGCCTCATCTTTAGAACGAGGCTGCCCAGTTCAGCCAAGGGAACGGAACGCCAAGTTGGGCGTGTGGGATGTGACATGGGGCTCTTGCCCGGTAATGTCCCCTTCCATAAGTGCTCCTAGAAGGATGAGATTCCTGGACCCCACCCCAAAAGTTGACCGAGGCGGTCTGGAGTGGGCTGAAATTCTGCATTTCTAACAAGTTCCCAGGTGGCTTCAGACCACACACTGAATCAAGAGGGTCTAGAGAACATACAACAGCCTCTCCCTTCCTGGGCTCCCGCGCGCTTAGGGTAGACCTGCTGTGTACCAGCTACCCAGTCTCTGCTGGCCCGCTCATGTCTCCTGGAAGGGTGCCCAGGTACTTTACATTCCCTGGAGTTCCCGAGATCGATGTTAGCATCTGGTCGGTCCCCTCCTCAGCCATCCCAGCACTTCAAGCTGCCTGTACTGACCTCACACCCCAGAACAGCCCTGAACTGGAATCAGGTGTTCTAACCCAGTGCACACGGATGCTTCCCCGGGACCCTCTCTACCAGGAAAGAAAGTAAAATGACTCTAGAAAGGACATGTGGGGAGGAAGGGACAGGTCGCCGCTCTAGCGCAGGGTGTCCCCTTACCGTTGGAAAGGAGCTGATCCTCCCTCACTTCTTCAAACAGACGCATGTCTCCGTAGCCCTCCTTCTGCTTCTCCTGGAAGAGTTTGTAGCAGGAGCTGGGGCTGGCCAGGAGCAGCCAGAAACCCTGGAGACAGAACTAGGGTCAGACGCCAGCTTCCCCTCCAGAAGCTTCCAAGGGTCTCCGAAAGAAGGTGGGAGACCCCCTCTGCGGTCCCCAAGACAGACCTTTTCGTCCTTACTCTTGATCTGTGTGGGGATGAAGCACATGAACTCGTCCGCGTGGCCGATCATCAGCCAGTCTGAGAACAGTTCCACGGGGGCCTGGACTTGCTGCGCGTAGACAAAGTCCCTGAGGGCCTTACTCATGTCCCGGGCCTCCTTGCTAAAGGGAGGACGGGAGGACAGCCTTTGAGCCAGCATGGCCCGGGTTGCCCGCCAACCCCTCACTGAGGGTCAGGTCACCTTCAGGGAACTGGCTGCTCTAACCACTGGGCTCAAGCGGCTGGTCCCCAGGGGCAGGGGTGGTTGCTATTAATGTTGACCGCTCACAAGTTAACTCCCGTTTGCACTTGCATTAGCTATTTCAAGTTTTGAAACTCAGGGTGGCGCTTTATTCAATGCATTCAACATTTACCGTAAGTACAATAGACAAAATAAAGTAAGATACAAAAATTTCTACTTGAAGTCCCTAGGGAGTGGATATCTGCTGGTTCAAATGAGTGCAGCTCAGAGCCTGACACTTCTGGTCCTTCTAAAAGAGCTCCTTATGTTGATTGACCTTTTAGGCTTTCGGGGCAACTAAAAGACCACGTTTTAGGAAAAACAGTCACTGGTATTAAAAAAAATCCAACTAGAATGTGTCAAGTGTGTTCCAAAAGGTGATTGCCATACAGTATACCACACCAAAAAAGTTACTAAAATATATAATATGTATACAATATGTAGCAGATATGTACAAAGTTTCATTTAAATTCATTATGTATAAATAAAGTATACCGAAGTTTATTTAGATTGTTTCACTTTCATACTTAATCACAAAAATATAGCCGGTGACATGAGCTACCGTCTGCGTAAAATTGCCGGTCAACGATTTAAGAATCCCTCCCTCTGGCCCGACTCAGGACTGAGCCGAGAGGTCCCAGAGAAAAAACTGGGCCCTGGGACACAGCATTTCCTGGCTTGAGATGAATGGCCACCAAGAAGTCTAGGTCTGAGGGCGGCCACCTGGACATCCACATCTCGCGGACATGACCTTGTTGGGTCACTAGGCCAGCCAAGCTCAGCATGCTTCAAGGTGAACCCTGGACTCACCCCTCAAAGAACGAGTCACTTGTCTGCTGTCTCTCCCTTTAGTCTCCTACATGACTCGCAGACTCACGTGAGTTTATTTGAAGGAAGAGTCCAGGGTAGGTGACCGGAGATCACGTGGAAGTCAGAGAGCGCCAGGTGAACCATTGGGTTCCCTTCCTTCAGTTTTAAGTCACCTGGCTACCACCTGACTTCTTGCCTCACCTGGGGTAAAAGCTGCTGCCAAGGAGGATCCTGCCCAGAGGATACTCTTTCCCTTTGACCTTGACAGGTGGGGACACCATCAGGTTCCCAATGGAATCCACGCTGGCCACCCTGTGGTCCGTGGTGCTTTGGATCATGTAGCCAACCCCTGGGCTCTGGAAGGAGACCCAGCCGGGGTGGGGTGTTAGGAGGGGTGGGCTTTAAGTCGAAGTCTCACCCCGATCCAGGCTCTCAGGTAGACTCCCATACCCCTGCCCCCAGAGGCCTCTGGGCCCTCTCCCCTGGCTCCCCATCACTTCTGGGCAGGCACCAGGCCCAAGAGGTTGGCCCAAGTTCAGATCAGCCAAACCGAGCCCCACACCAGTGAGTATTTCATGGGGAAGTCTTCCAGCTTGTGGACCCGGGGGGTGTCGAGGACCAAGGAGACCGTCTTGTGGGGAGCCTGGGTGTAGCAGAAGGCCATTTCATCCTGGAGGGCACAGGAAAATAAGTGGTGACATCTTCGCTCCCTCAGCTGCTTTCCCGCCTCGTCTGGCTGGCCAGGCAGTGTTCCTGTCCCCAGCCACCTCCGGGGGGGAGCAGTAAGAACCCCTTCTTCCTGCCAGTTTCTGCTCAGCCCTTCGTGGGGACTTCGCCTGGCCCGTTCTCCCACTCAGCAAGTTGAAATGTGAGTCACCTAGACGCAAAGTTATCTCGCCGTCTGCACCCAGGCCAGGAAAAAGCCTCATTGGCTTTCTCTAAAATACATTCCGAGTGGACTCATCCCTGGGGAAGCCACGTGATCTCTCCCCCAAGCACCTGCCACGCTCTCCAGCCTCTTCCATCCTGCCCCTTCCTGTGACCCGTCCTCACGATCTGGTTCAAACCTAAACCAGATCGTCACAGCCCCATTCCTACGGCTAAAGGCATTCCATCTCGCTCTGCGCTCGTTTCTGGTCCTTACCTTGGCTGAAGACCCCTGAAATAGGACCCAGCGCGTGCCTGCCTCTGACCTCTCCACTCTGATCTGGCCACCCAGCCTCCTTAAACCCTCCGAGTGCAGCCCACTTTCTGTGATCTTCAGTCAGCTGCTCCTCCACCCTGACAGCCCATTTCTAACCCGCCACCCCCACCCCAGGCTTTGCATGGCCAGCTCTGTGCTTCGCGAGCCTGGAGATTTTCCTGGCCACCTGGCTTGGTCTCGTCACCCACTAGACCGTCTCATTTCTGTGCGTGTTTGCTCGAGCAGGGGCAGTGGGGTCCCAGGCTATTAGAACGGTGCCCAGGTGGTCATCCCTCAGCTATTTGTAGTGGAGAATGGAGCATGGGGGAGGGGAGCTCCTGCTCTGCCGGGATCTGGATGGACCCTGGAGCAATGGGCCAGACCCTTCAGCCGCCTAGGGGTTAAGTTTCCCTGTGGTCTTGACGGGCACATTCTGAAAAAGGAAGGTTAGACTCGAAGCTGTATTCCATAGGGACTAAAACTTGGGCAAGACGGTTCATCTGAGCCTGCACTGAAGTCCCCCCTAGTTAGGCTTAGCTTTTCTGGGAAGGTTGAAGGGAAGCCCGAGATGTTCGTTGTAGGGGCTCCAGGTGGGGTCTCTCCTGCTCCACCCCCGCACAGCTTTCCCCAGGTGGGGCGTACCTGGAGCCACCTGCCCAAGCGGTTGGGGTCCTCGTAGACAGAGGCCACCTGGATGTTGCTCCTCTCGCCGAGGTCCATCACCGTGTCCACAAACCCCTGGACCTGCAGCTCTCTGCCACGGAGACAAGCGGCTCTGGGAAGGCCTTCGAGCCTCCTGCCCAGATGGTGACCTTGCTGGCCCAGGGGAAGGGGGTACCACCTCCTAGTAAGATTGTGTGCCCACCCATGCAGAGTGGCTGTCCCCCAACCTCATGGAGCACAGGCTGGTAGCTCAGAGAACGTCTGGCCCAGCATCACTCGGCTGGGCTCATGGCAGAGTCTCATCGAGAACTGTTCATCTGGGTTCCCACTCTGGTGGCCTAGGACTCTGCTGTCCTTATCCTGTGGTCACACCCCACAAGTATGGCTACCCCCTGGCCCAGGCATTGTGGGAGCCACCCCAGGCTCTCCTGCCTGTCCCTACCCAGAGGGCCAACTCTTCTCCCCAAGGGGGCTGTATTCCCCCCCACCACAAGAAGTCAAGAAGCTAGGTGTCCCCTTGAAATGCCAACGAGGTTGTCATATTTGTATGGGTAGCAGGGGATGGGTCTTGAACCCTGGGATCTTATCACTGTCATACCGGTCCTCAAAGTACATTTGTTCCTTGTTGGTGATAAACAGTGATGTTTGAGGCTGTTTAAAAAAGATCACCCATGCGTGGCTGGTGTGGCTCAGTGGTTGAGCAGCATCAACCCTGCACCAAGAGGTCACTGGTTCAATTCCTGGTCAGGGCATATGCCCAGGTTGTGGGCCCGATCCCCAGTGGGGGGCATGTAGGAGGCGGCCAGTTGATATTCTCTCTCATCGATATTTCTTTCTCTTCCTCTCTAAAAATCAATAAAGAGAAAAAAAAGTGCTAAAAAAAAAAAAAAAAAAAAAGATTGCCCATTTTATAAACAGGTCACACTATTGGGAAGTATCAAAATTGGGATTCTAATCTGGTTCTAGGCATAAAACTTGTGTTGCTATTCTATGCTCCTCTTCCCAAAATGCCCTCTCTGGGGTCTTCAAGGCTACAGGGAGCTGATCAGCCTACCAAGCTCTGTAGGACAGTCTTGAGGATGTGTGCTGGGGTAAAGGTGGGAAGCCCTAGGGTCACGGCCATCTGTGGCTAAGCTGGATCAAGCCGTGCCTGAATGCCACCACAATGGGAAGTTCCCAGAAGACCAGGGCTTCAGCAAATGCCTCCTGTGAGTGAGCAACTTGTCTTCAGGTACAAAAGACAGATCTGGTTACCTGTGTGTGTATCATCAGCAAAGTTCCTCGAGTCCTTCCCTTTTCTCATTCTGAAACCTGGCATTCCTCAGAGGACCCTGCTCCGAGCAGCTCTCCCATGCGTACAAGAGCTACTTTTCTTTTATACCCCACAGAGGGAGGAGGTCTTCCTTGCCATGTTTCCCTGAATCTGGGCGGTCAGGGGTGCTTTAGGTCCTGGACTTGACACACATTACTCACCCTGCCTCAGCCTCCTAAGCCACCAGTCACACCACCTACAAGATCTTGCTCTGATGTCCGGTTCCATCCACTCCATCTCCCCGCTCCCCGTGTAGTGGCTGGGCCAGCAGCTTGACCTCAGGCCCTCGCTGCTCTTACCCCCTCTGCCTGCTTTCTTCCCCGGCCTTGAGTCTCGGACGCATCCTAATTATACCCTTGTCCATCATCTACCGGGGTTTACTTGCCTGGCAAGCCTCCTACCCTGGTTAGACTGGCTCTGCATCTACGCTCCCCTACAGCTGAGGTTACCGAGGAGGGACCAGTCACCATGGGCTTTTCCACCAGTGTCAGCCTAACCCAAGAGTCTTCAGCACTGGCTCCCTTTAAACCATTGTGCCTGGGGCCCGTGACAGCCCAGGCCGTGTCCTGACACCCAGGGTCCTCCCCCTCCCTGCTGTCCCCAGAACACACTGTCCTTGCCATTCCTTCCTTCTGCTGTAGGACCCTCGATCTGCCTAAAGTCACGCTGTTTGCTTGTTGGTCTCCCCATAAGACCAGGGGAGGACCTCACCTTCACCACCCTGTCCCTCACGTCGTTAAGTGTTCGGACTTGTACTGATGGCCACCTTGGGGACCAGGCAGCAGAGGGGGAAGGATTTCGCTTTCTTGGTGAGAAAGTCTCGTTCTCTTTACTCGACAGCCCGCGGACAGGTGGCAGGGGGTACTAGGTATAGAAGCGGCCTGGCACGGCAGCCGAGGGGTTCTTACCTGCACAGGTAGATCTCCAGAGGCATCTGGGTGCTTGGGATAAAGATGCAAGGAGCCACTCGGAACACTACCGTGTCCCTGTGCACCAGGGTCTCTGGAATTGACTGCAACAGAAGACACTGTCCTGTTGCTGATCCGGTTCCACACCCACCTTCTTCCCCTCCCCCGGGCCTCCAGCTGCTCACCTGTCCTCCTAAGGTAGCATGAGACCCCCGCTCCACCCACCAAGCCGTACCCTCCCCTCTCCTTCCACCAGCTGAGAGAGATTCCTCCCCAGTCTCTGCTCCCTGGGGCTCACCAGGGCTGGAGCCTCTTGGACCAGGGAGACAGAGTAGGAAATCAGGCCGGAGAAGCTGGCGGATGGGAACTCCGTAGCTTCCACGTAGAAGGTCTCCGTCAAACGGCTCTCCAGGGGGGCAAAGGTGTAGGTGTGCTGGCCAGGCCCCAGCAGCAGCTCACAGGTGCTCGAGTCGTCTGCTGGGAAGGGGAGGGCGGACCAGCTGTCACCACACCTGCCGGCCCAGGGGAGCAGGAGCCCAGGCTTTTCTGCCCGTTCCTAGTATTTAGGGCCAAGGGCCACTTGCTCTCCAACAGGCTGCACAGGCCTTTACGCACATCAGGGCTTGGGACTCATGAAAAGGCCAGCCTTCAAGGCGTTCCGAGGGTGAAGGCTCACAGTAGGCGCTCTATGTATTGACCATTTGGACAGAAGGTTATAGGTCTCAAAGGTGACAAAGTGCAAAGGTGGGCTGGCAGCCTGAGCCAGCAAGTCGGACACTGCCTGCTGAAGTGAGGACAGTCGGCTGGGGGGACAGGCCCCACTGTGGGCCCCTGGAGGTGAGAAGGTTCCTATCATGTGGGTGAAGCCCACCGTGTCCCCACTTCGGATCGTGCCAGATGAATCCATGCGCAGAAGGGAGTAGAAGGAAGCTGACCACACGTGGTCGTCTCTGGTTAACTCAATCCCAATCCATCCAGTCTCCACCTCTGGATCTTGCCCTGGCCCAGGGCCACCAAGCATCCCCCCATCTGGACCACTTCTCCCTACCTGGCCTGCCTGCCCTGGTCCCCATCCGTCTAACCCGTCCCCAGTGTGGCAGCCACAGTCCTGATGACAGTTGCTCCTACTGGCTGGATTCCTGTTTCAGGAAACCCCAGTCTAGGTTTGCCTTGGCCAGGAGGCCCTGACGGATCTGGGCACCGCCTCCTCCTCAGACCTCCTGTGTAGCGCGCAGCAGCTGCCTGGTCTCCAGTTTCCTCAACATGCCAGCAGCTGGCTGCTGTGGCCACAGCTGCCCCGGGCACAGCTCTGGTGCTGGCCGCCTGCTCTGGTTTGCAGTCTCACAATGGCCCGAGTGGGGGCTGCAGCCCTCCAGAGAGATTCTAGCTACTGGCAATTCTGCAAAAAAAACTTAAAAGGCACTGGGGGTGCTGCTGCTGACCATGTAAAGGCTGGGCCAGCTGGGAATGCTCCTGGGGACTCCTGCTTCTGGTCTGCCTGGAGGCTCCCCTGCTGGCCCCGAGCCAGGCCTCGAGGGGTCAGACGGGTCCAGGCTTGGTCCAGGCTGTGAGGGCTGCTCTGGCCCCTGAGCCCATCAGGTGGGGGGCTGGGCTAAGCCGGGCAGTCCTAGAGCCAGCTCAGGAGGCCAGCAAGTCACAGCTGTGGCCACGGGGACCTGGGCATCGGGCTGATAGTAAGAGACCCAAACCTGTGGAGACAGCTTCCAGACCGTGGGAGGCCGGAGCAGCCCCTGCCGTGCCCATGTGCGCTGTCCCTGCGCACTGCAGTCTGGCTTTGGTGCCCGCTGTTCTTATCAAACTCGCTAATGGCTTGTTTTGAAAACCAAGATTTACTACTGTAAAGTCTGTTGGTCACTGCCTTTGTGAAGGCTTCTTTTCTCCTTTATTTCTGGAACCTTCTATGTCACTGGAAGCTCCTTCTCGGCCTCCTTCGCTACATCTTCCAAACTAGTGCTTCTCAAAGTTTAGCTTGTTCAGAATCACTTGGAGAGCTGTTAATACACAGGGGACTGGCATGTCCGATGTGGCTCAGTGGATTGAGCATCATCTCATGGACTAAGAGGTCCCAATTCGATTCCCGGTCAGGGCACATGCCCAGGTTGTGGGCCCGATCCCCAGTAGGGGGCATGCAGGAGGCAGCTGATCAACGTTTCTCACATCAACGCGTCTACCTCTTTCCCTTCCTTCCTCTCTCCCCCTCAAAAAATCAAAACACATTAAAAACAAAACAACTTGATACGCAGGCTTCCAGGGCCGCCTCCCAGCCCTAAGTAGAAGGGCCACATGCAACCTGGGCTGCCTTTCCTGGCCAGGTCACCCCCAAGTTCAGCTCGGACCTGCAGAAGAGGGGAGTGAGGGCTGAACTCGGGCCCTCCGAGCACAGCCGAGAAGTTAGCAGAGGCGACTCCCCCATGCTGGATGCAGGGCGGGTCCGTTATAAACCACGGGGGTCACCGGGTGCCCCGCTGAAGCTACATATGACTATTGGAACAAGGTAGCCAGGTTGATAAGGGCTGGAGGTGGCAGTGTGTGGCGTGGTGTCCGAGAGGGACATGCTAGGGTCGCTGTTACTGGCTTCTTGGCCTCTGCATTCTAGAAACCTGACCTATGGGGCCCTGGTTGAGAAATGAAGGCTGATTCTTCTGGCAGGAGCCATGGGGCGGAGATGTTATCTAATTTGCATAAGACAATAGCTATTGTGCATGTCTCCTCTTCATTGCTTGTCACTGTCATTGCCTGGGCTGGGTGGCCTGGAGGTACACTGACTCATCCAGGGGTGTGGACAGTGTTGGTGAAGTGGCAGCCAGACAATCCCAGGGATACAAGTCCGGCACAACAGCCGCTGACCTGCACCTCTAGGTCCCCCGCAGGTTTCTGAGGAGACCCTGCCAGGTGGGGGTGTGGCTACCTGGAGGTGAGCGAGTAGACAGAGCTGGTGCAAACACACTCACCTTGGGCCCGATAGACTCTCGCCTTCTCCGACTCTTCCTGGGAGGTGTGGAGAACCAGCCGGTGGTTCTTTAAAACGCAGCTGGGCCCCTGCACATTCAGTACCATCTGGGACAGGTTCTTTATTTCTGGGCAAGAGACAAGGCCAAGGTTCAGGGCCTCTGGAGGCCAGTGTCCCGGGGGTGGAGGGTGGGGCGCTGGGGACCCTCGGTCTCCTGTTCTGGCCCAGGCTGCCCAGGCCTGCATCACGGGTGACTTCCCATGTGACCACAGACAACTCGCAGTCCTCAGGCCACTCAGTGAGGCTGGCATTGACCTCATACGGCAGTCCACAGCACCTAGACCAGGGCCTGGGGCCGTCAGTCCAGTGAGGGTTCTCCTTCAGCCTTGGTGTGCACCAGGACATCTGTTCTACTGCTGAGACCTAGAACCTAGGTCCCAACGACATCTCAGGACCAGACCCACGACTGCTTTTGCCCGAGACAGTCGGGGTCCCTGCCGCAGGCTGCTAGAGGGTCCTTCAAAGTCTGCACGCTCCCCTTTGTGTCTTCCTTTAGTCTCATCCACACTGAAAGGACAACTGTTGTCATGCCCGTTTTACAGATGGCCAAGCAAGACTGGGGAAGCCAACATGCTCAAGTTCACGGCCAGGGAATAACCATGCTCTTCCCATGGGGCCTCTTGCCTCCTAGTCCAGCTTCAAGCCACTGATAAGAGACTTGACTGGCCCAGAATGGAGACGTCAGCCTGGAACCTGGCTTCGTGAGGGGTCGGGCAGTGAAGCCCCAGGGAAGGCGCAGCCCAAGGAAGAAAGGTGACAATAGTCCCAGGTCAGCGGCCAGGTCCTTCTTACCCTCCGAGAAGAACACCTTCTTGGTCTTGTCCAGGAGCTGGACCATGTCCACAGGGCTGCAGTTTACCAGCAGGATGGCGCCCCAGCCACCGGGGCCCCAGACCCAGTTTTTCTGCCGAGACAGCAGGGGTTGGTTCAGGAAGGCGACAGGTCAAGCCTCTGCTTCCCAGAGGCGAACCCCCATCAGGGACAACGCCACCTTTTCTTCAGGGTAGTGGGGCCTCTAGGTCAGAATCGAGCGAGCGGACCAAGGAGGAGGGGGAAATATCTAGGGCTGGGATACCCGTTTTCTACCTGGTAGAATGTCAGGGGAGTAGGGACCGAGACCAGGTGGAGACATGTCCCACCTGACAGGGGCAGCTACCCCCTGCTCCGGTTGACTCCTCAACCAGGCTAGAATGTGAACCTCGTGTAATCAGACATTCTAGTTGTTTGTAAAGCTACAAATGGACTTCATTGGCTCTGGTTTGTGTGGCAGTTAACTCGACTTGCCAGACACTATGAAGGTCAGAGAGGTGGTTGGCCAGATCTGGCTCAGGGTCCTGGGTCTGCACCCCCCGCCCCCACTCCCGGCAGCCTCACCTTAGCCTGCTTGTCACTTGCCATCTCGACCTTCCCACTGCGGTGGATGTCCGCGTCCAGGGAGACCACTGCAACAGGAGGAGAGGTCTCAGTCCCTGGACCTGCTGGATGGAGCCTGGAAGCTGTAGCTGGTCCCCCAGGGCCACCCAGCCTTTCGGGCACGCTGCCGGCTCAGCAGAGGGGTTCCTCAGACAGCCTGGCTCTCGCGAGCAAGCCTGGAGAGGCCCAAGCAGTTATGGGTTCCCCCAACTTCTTGAGAACTCAAAACAAGTGGTCATGATGCCCTTTCTGTGCCTGGTGGCCTCTACCCAGGTGACTCCCACCTGGAGGGGCTCACGTCCCTAGCCTTCCGGAAGCTCTCGGCACTGAGACATAGCCAGCACAACACCTGGCGATAGCAAGCCCCTTTACAGCTTACGGACCCGGCTCTGCCCAAGTATTGTCATAGAGGTTCTTCCTACCATCTCCATGCTTCACTTCCTACCCCGCCTCACCACACAGGTGCCCCCTGCAGGGCTGATTCCTAGTTTTTGTAATTCGATATGCTCTTTCTCAACTGGAACGTCAGGGCCGTGGGAATAGACCTCGGCTGCTGCTGACTTCTCCGCACCTGGCACAGATGCTCAGGACCGGACGCTGGCTACGGCCCAGGTACTGTTCTGAGCCCTAGGGTGCAAGACGGGCCCTGGCATCAAGCATAAAGGTGTGCGTGCACGCCCACATCCGGGGATGAAGACATCCGTGAAATGCACGTGTCCGATGGTACAAGTGCCATGGGAACAAGGCAGGGGATGGAGCGGGTGGTCTCGTTTTCAAATGATCAGAGTTGAATGATCAGAACTTCCCAGTTGAAAGTTGAACAGAGACCCCGAAGGGGGCCAGAAAGTGATCGGTGTTACTATCTGGGGTAAAGGCAAATCGAACAGGAAGGGCAAGGTGGCAAGTTCAAGGGTCAAAGACACCCGTGTGCCCAGGCAGGACGAGCAAGGGGAAGAGAAACGGGGCAGAGCTTAGAGGTCACGTGGGCTGGCTCAGGCTGGGGCTGTGGGTAACCATGACGCTGGCTTTAATCCGAGGCAGGAGGCAGGGGGAGGGTTTGAGCCAAGGAGACATTACCTGCCAGTTGTTTACAGGTGTGCCGCCCTGGGGGCTGAACTTAGAGGACCTGCAGAAGGCAAGGACCAAGCACGGAGCAGGGGACCCCTGGGGGCCTGTGCAGCGACACAGGCAAGCGAGGGCAGTGGCTCAGAACAGGCTAGAACACTGCAAAGTGCTCGAGTAGCCGTAATCCAGCCAAACACCAGGCTGCACCCGCAAGACTCACGGGTCCACACGGGCCAAAAGGAGAACAAGGATGACCAGGGCTTTTGGCCTGAATGGCTAGAAGGATCGACTGCTGTTTACGGTGACGAGGAAGGTCAGTGAAAACAGGTGTTTGGGGGTAGAGCTGAGACAGTCCGATTTGGGACTGAAGTCTGAGATGTCGGAGAGAACTGGTGTGGGGCCCTCAGAGCCAAGCCAAGTTTATGGGAGACGTCTGGCTGGAAAGTTGTGGGAGTCCATCTATCGAGACACGTGATGGGCTGCTGAGCCTGGAGGCACGTCAGGGACCCGGGAAGGACCCGGAAACAGCTAGATAAGGGGGAAACTGAGCGCAGGGTCCCGGGGGTGTTTCAAGTGAAACACATCAAGGAAAGACCACCAGTTGTAGTCAACACTGACGAAGGTCAAGGTAAAGATCGAGTTGACCACTGGACTCAGCAGAGCAGTTGTTAGGACCCTCGATAAGGGTCATGCTGTGGGGGTGTCTGACCTGAGCAGGTTTAGGAGGGAGGGAGAAGCTGAGGATGCAGAGACAGCTCCAGAGGGGCAGAGGTGAGGTGCGAGTTTGAAGATAATGTAGAATCAGCTTTAAGAGAATAAACAGCAGAGCCAGCGCCTAGTCCTGAAGGGAATAGCCATTACAGCGTGTTCTGTACTGGTCCAGAAGCGGGGGAGGGCAGGGGCGTCCTCCGTCAGTAAGGATCGCTGCAGGGATGTTCTTCAATGTGCGTGAGGGGAAAGGAGCTAGTGGGGTGAAATTCACTTTGAACCAGACACTTGGGCCATCATCACAGCAGAGGCAAATGTGGCACCAGACGGGGGTAGACGATGGGAACCCGTGGACATTTGATCGCCTCTATTCTCAGAATTAGATCAGCAGGGAGGGGGTGGGGAGAAGCGGCTGAGCTTCAGGGAGAAGTTGCGGGGGTATGTCCAGCGGATCCGGCCAGGACCCAGGGAAGGCCTCTCATTACAGGGACAGCCCTTCCCCGCTTCTGCCAAGCCCACCCTCCTGTCCCAGGGCGGGGACAGCACTCACCAAGGCCAGTGAGGTACAGCTCAGCTGTGGCCACGGGGACCTGGGCATCGGGCTGATAGTATGAGACCCAAACCTGTGGAGACAGCATCCAGACCGTGGGAGCCCTGGGAGGCCGGAGCAGCCCCTCGACCTCGGTCTCACAGTACAGCTTCTGGGGGCTCACTGAGCGGGCGCCCGACTACTGTGCTGGAACTCAGACTAGGAGAACCACCACCTGTGCGCCGTGCCACCAGCACTCCAAGGACGTCCACGCTCAGGCCTCGTAACCCTCCGGGTGGGCTCTACTCCCAAGGGCAGAGGGCCCAAGGGACTTCCGCATGTCGCTGGTCCAGGAAGAGGCAGCACAGGATTGGCGATCCAGGCTGCCTGGCTCTGGAGCTCAAGCTTTAAGTTATGGTCGGATCCTCCCACGACACCTGCCCTCCTGGGCTTCACCTGGCCCCCGGGAGGTGGGCCGTGGGGCCTCCTGTAGGTTAAGCCACTTGCTCAAAAGGAAGTGGGACACCTGGAGCAGGGACTGGAATGGAACGGTCTTTCCCGGGTCCCAAGTCAGCTTCTGCTTCCGGACAAAGGCTTGCCCCTCAGCTGCTGGCCTTGACCACCAGCCTTCATCACAAACCAGAGCCAAACACTAGCCACAGTCACGCCTACATGTGTGACCGCCACCTGTTCCTAAATGGAAGCTCTTGTCCTCCACGGTCAAGCACCTCAGTCCGCAGGCCACTCCTGACAGTGCCCGGGCTGAGGCAGGGCGTCTGGGCTCAGCTGGGGCAGTCACAGCCTCAGTCCTCACCGGGAGACTCCCAGTCTTGTCTAAGTGTGCTGCCTGCCTCTAGGGAGCTGCCTGCCAGGGCACAGTGCAGGACGGGTAGGTACCGCCCCTGCCTCCCAGCAGACCACTCCGGTGGGCTCTGCTGACGGACCGCCCTAACCCTGATGTGCTTCATCTGTGATCCTCACCCTCGGCACGGAGCTCACCTGGAGCTGTGAACAGAGGCCAGGGCCCCACCCCCAGGTGGATTTCACGGGGAGGGGCTGTGGCTCAGGTACTGAGTGGGAGTCCCTGGCACTTCTAATGCCTCTGCACGAGAGACCAGCTCCCACCACGGAACCACCACCAATGCCTAACCCACGATGAGCCTGAACCCCCACCTGGTAGGGCAGGTGCCCCATTAGGGAGACAGCTTGCTCAGGAGAGAGGTCCCAGACTCGAGCTGAAATCCTGGATCTGCCCCATCCCCGTGTGCCTCAGTTTCCTTGTCTGTAAAATGGGGTACAGCTGACCTCTGTGCATTTCGTACACATCAGCTCCAAAGTTCCAGTAGGGTCTCTATCCAGAAGGCTAACCTTAGCCGAAAAGCTAAGTGGAGTTCACTGTTGAAACATTTTAGGGCAGATTTTTAAAGTAGCTGGTTTGGGAGCTCGCCCAGCATCATGGTCAGAACACACGCAAACAGACGCGTGTGAGCTTGAATCCGGGGTCCTGCTGATGACCAGCTTGGGCAGGGTGCTTCCTCTCTCAGTGCCTCGGTTTCTTTAGCTGTGAAATGGGGACATGGGCTGCCCAACTGACAGATTTGTCGCAAGCATCACAGAAGGTCAAACACCTGGCACTAATTTTTCAGACAGGGAGTGCCAGCTGAGCGGAGGGAGCGGTGGGGTTGTGGTGGCCCCGCTCCCCAGCCTACCTTGCTGTCATCCAGGGCAGAGCTGGGGGACGTCATCTTCACCAGCACATCCATGGGATCGAACAGGGACACCTGGGTGGTGGCCGCCTCGTCGTTGGGCGCTGCCAGGACCGTGTTGGGGATATCCACCAAGACCCCCGGTGAGGCGCCAATGGTGAAGGACTCGCACCTCTGCGGGGCACACCTGGTTTGCCCAAAGGGACAGACTTTAGGGCACAAGAGTCTCCCCTGCTCAGCCCAGAGTGCAGCTGGCATGTGGGGCGGCCACCCATCCCCTCTCCTCGGGGTGCTGAGGCAGCCTGGTTTACGCTCAGGGCAGTTTGGGGGGTCCTAAAACAATGTCAGCCTTACTCTTACCCTCCCCCCGTCCAGTGACCCCGTATCCTCTAACAAGCTCCTGCTGGGACCGCACCCCCCACACTGCTCTAGGAATATGGCCAAAGCTACGTCTTCTGTATAAACTCCCAACTCCCAAGGGGGAAGGAGCCACGAGGGATCCCTGTAGAAGGGACACGGCTGGGACTCGGAGGTCTGGGCCGCATTCTGGGGAAGACCTGGCCCCTGTGGGTGAGTCATCTCCCCCCCGAGGCTCCAGTTTACAGGAGTCTCCATTGAGAGCCAGCCTCACCCCCGTTTCAGAGGTTAGGGGAGAGGGCAGGGCACTGGCTTCTGAGCCCCCACAGCCCCCACGGGGTGGAGACAGGATTTGGGTCAGAATCCTGTGGTATCAGGAGGGCAGCCCCGAGGGACCCAGACTCGGCTCTGTGAGTTAAAACAGGAGAATGAAGTAAGATGCAGCAAAATGAGGGACCCCCACATAATTCAGGGAGAGCCCAGGAGGGGAGCCAGGCGCCAGCCTCCCTGCCCAGACCCACCCCCCAGCCAGACTTGGCAGAGCCCCAGGTCCTTACCCACTGACATCCAAGAAGACCTCCATGCCTACCACACAAAGGGCGTGGGCAGGGCTGTCCAGGGACAGGTGAATGATGCTCTGGTAGGACATGGCTCAGCCCCTAAGCTAACCACCCTCACCCAACACAACCACCTCAACTGACCCCAGGGCGCCCCGCGGCCCTCCCCTCTTATGGGCTCAGGGCCTGTCCAGGCCGCCCCCTTGTTAAGGATGCTCGAGCAGCTGCCCAGGTGTGACCTATTTTCTCCATTGAGGCTGCAGAGGCGCAGGTGGGGCCAGAGCCCCTTCATCTCACTTTCTTGGGCAGGCACGAGGCCCGTGCGTGGCTGGCTGCTTGGGTCTTCGGCCTTCAGCTGGGAGCAAGAGGGACTTTGGTACTGGTCAACCTGGCCACAGACTTGCTGGAGCTAGGCTCTGCAGGGGTGCGCGGGACGGTGGTCAGGGTGGCACCAAGCAGTAGCAGCACCAGGCTCTGGGGCCTCAGTTCTAGGGGTGTGTTTCCTGGAAACTGACGAGGTGAGCCCTGCAAAATGCTGGACCGGTGAGTGGTTCTCAGCGCTCTAGTGGTGGCAACAAGGAACCGGGAGGCTTGTCAGAGCTGCAGATCCTGGCCTGGCAAGTCTGGGTGTGGCCCAGGAAGTCATGCCCCAGCCCCAGCCCAGCCCCAGCCCAGCCCCAGCCCCAGCCCCAGCCCCAGGTGATTAGGGAGCTCCTCGTCCACGCTGTGCGCTGGCTCCCTGCCGGCGCGGCAGGTGCTGGTAGAATGAAGAGGGGCGGTGCTGAGCCGAGCTCACCAGCTGCTCCTCATCTCCGCAGCAGCTCACGAGCAAAGGACTGAGAACTACTGCTCCAGCCCAAGGGACTTGCCAACCGACTTCAAAACAGTGTTCATTTCACGTTCTAAGTGAGGGTCATGGTTGATCTTGAATAGGTACCACGTTCGCATGGTTCCAAGTTCGAAAGGGACTTGCGAGCCTCGCTCCTGCCTCTCCCCCACCCAGTGCCCTTACTTGGCGGTGGCCGGCGGCATTTGTTTCTTGTGTCTTTCCAAACAGATGTTATGTGCGACCAAGTAAACATGTAACCTTGTTTTAAATGTTTTTTTAATTGATTTTTTTTTTTTTTTTAGGGAGAGAGAGAGAGAAACATCAATGTGAGAGAAAAACACCAATTGGCTGCCTCCTGCATGCTCCCTACTGGGGACTGAGCCCAACCTGGGCATGTGCCCTGAATGGGGACCTCAGTCCATGGGACGATGCTCAGTCCACTGAGCCACACCGGCCAGGCCAGTTATGCTTGTTTTTACATAAATGGTAGTATGTGCTACATAGCGTTTCTTACCTTGCTTTGCTCACTCTATGGTACAGTTCAGACCAAGGTCTTCACATCAGCATGTAAAAAGCATCCTTATCGTTTTTTATGGCTGTATAGTATTCCATAGAGGGCTCCACCATCATATATACATAAGAGCATTTATTTTCCGTGTTTTGCCGACAGGACACCGCAGTGAGCAACCTGTGTGTAACAGCGTGGTGGGTGTAAGTTGGGTACTGAGCGAAGACTGCTTAGTCAGCCAGGCTTCTTAAATTTGGGATTAAAAGTAAAAATATAGCCCGGCCGGTGTGGCTCAGTGGTTGAGCGTTGACCCATGCACCGAGAGGTTGCCAGTTCGATTCCCGGTCAGGGCACATGCCCAGGTTGTGGGCCCGATCCCCAGTGGGGGGCATGCAGGAGGCGGCCCATCGATGTTCTCTCTCGTTGATGTTTCTATCTCTCCCTCTCTCTCCCTTCCTCGCTCTCTAAAATCAATAAAGAAGAAAAAAAAAGTTAAAAAAAGAAAAGTAAAAATATGCCTCTCTGGAGGTTTTAAGTACGCATCCTAACTATCAGGGGTGGTTTCGTTTTGGGGGTCTTGGAGGCGGGGGTTGGCAAGGAGACTCTGAAAGTCGCTCTGGTTTGGTTGAAAGTGGCCCAACCGACCAGGCTGGAGGTGCCCCACACACTGCGCTCTCACCACGAAGGGCTCACCCACACCTGCCCTCTGTCTGCTCACGCCGCTGGCCAGACGTGGGCTGCTAGGGCCGGGCGTGGGGTTCTGGAGCAGAGCAGTCTGGGAGTTCTGTCCCTCTCAGCCCTCAGAGAGCCTGCTTTGTGCCAGGGCTCTGTCTCAGCAGAGTGGGGTGGGGCACCCCTGCTTTCTCTGGGCATGAAGGAACTTGGAGAGATCCAGAGAGGGGCTCTGCTTTCCCTCCTGGGGGCGTCCTGTTCACCACTGAATCCCCAGCTCCCACAAAAGTCCTGGACATAGTAGATGCTCAGCAAATTCTTGTACAGCAAATGACTAAATGATCCCAACCCCCACCTTCATCCCCCTCAAACATTAACCCAATAGGCAGCCATGAGGGTCTCCGACCAAAACGAGGGGTTTGTGACCAGAAAGCAATTGTGCAGAGGTGGCCCGCAGCACCGCAGCGCTGATCCAGCGCGGAACGTCAAGTCCCGCGGCACCTTAGGTCACGGTGGACGCTCTGGGGTGCCCCCTGACCCTTCAGGCCCGCGGCACTTATCCCCCTCCCGCGCCCGCCCCAGATGCTGTGAGTTGGCGTCTGGCGGCTCACAACAAGCCCTCCTGGAATTGTCCCCTGCCACTTCCCACGCTGCACCCCCTACTTGGGGGCAGCTATGCACAGTGTGGGGGACAAAGGCCAGGCTGCTTATCTTAATTCAAGACAACTCTGAGGGCCCATCCCAGCTCCAGAGCTTCCCATGGGATTACCCAAAACGTCGGTGGCCACCACGTCCCAGGTCATCACCCCCCACTGCTCCCCACACGCCCTCCCAGGTGCGGGCCCTGTGAGCCCCTCCCAAGCCTCTCATGGCCAGTCTTCCTCTCAGACAGCAGTCGCCAACAATCTCCATTCAGAAGGTCAAAGTCCAGACAAAAGGAAACCTCCAAACTCGGTTTTACAAAGTTAAGTCTTTCCCATTAGGGTTTAGCAGAGGTGCAAAGCTTTGGGCGTCGGAAAGGGGACCCTCCGCTTTGTCCCTTCCCTCCCCGCTGGCAAATGGAGGTTCCTGACCTGTAGTAGGCGGAATAGTAGCCCCAAAGCTATCAGGTCCTGAGCCCCGGAACCTGTGTTATCTCATCTAGAAAGGGCCTTTGCAGGTGTGACTGAATTTGCAGGTGTGACCGAGTCTTTGAGATGGGGACATTTCCCTGAATTATCTGGGTGAGCCCTAAATTCAATCCCAAGTCTCCTCATAAGACAGAAACAGTGGCTCTGGCCAGTATTGTTCAGTGGTTAGAGCACCGGCCCGTGGACCAGAGTCGCAGGTTCGATTCCAGTCAAGGGCACGTACCTTGGTTGCCGTTCATCCCCGGCCCTGGTTGGGATCGTGCAAGAGGCAACCAGTCAATGTGCCTCTCTCACATTGATGTTTCTGTCTCTCTCTCCCTCCCTCCCTCCCATTCTATCTGAAGATAAATGGAAAAATATCCTCGGGTGAGAATAAAAAAAAAATGTTTAAGAGAGAAAGAAACAGGGAGGTTTGACCCATTCAGAGGAGAAGGCGCCTGACCACACAGGCAGAGACTAGTGACGCAGCCGCCAGCCAAGGGCAGCTGGCAGCCACCAGAAGGTGGAAGAGCGAGGAACACTCTCCCCCAGAGCCCCCCGAGGAGCGCGGCCGGCTGGCACCTTGATTTCAGCCGCTGAAACTGACTTTGGACTTCTGGCCTCCAGCACTGGGACGAAATGAATTTCTGTTGTTCTTGGGCACCAACTTCACGGTCATTTGCTACCCCAGGAAACTAACCTGTGCGCCCTGGGGGAGGACGGGGAGGGAGCAGGGAAGTTCTTGCCCTGGGGCACTGTCACAGGAGGTCCCGTGCTCTGGGGCCGCTAGAACTGACCCCTGGTGCTTTCTCCACCTCCGCTTCCCTGGCTCATTGACAGATGCCCCTCCCCACGAAAGGCTGGGGTGCTCACCTGCAGTTACCTCCACGGGAGGGTTGCTTTAGCCACCAGCTGGTCTCTCCATCCTTTGCAGCCTGGCAGTCCTATGGGTCAGGTTTTGGGATGACCGCACACCAACTTCCTCCTCTGCAAGGCGCCTTTTCTGCGCCACAGAACGGCTGTACGCGGTTCGCCCGGCAGTGGGGGCGGGGGGGGGGCAGCTGATTCTCTTCAGCGAGGAGCGTTTCACCAGGTCTGTGGGTCTCTTTCTCCCTGGCATGAGGGCAGAAGCTGTGCACGCCCATCTTCTCCACCCTCATCGTTCTCCAGGGCCGCAGGAAAACAGCCCTCTGGGTGTTTCTGAGTATCTCAGGCTCTGCGGAGCCAAGACCTGGCCTCAAGTTCAAAGAATTCGGGTCATCACGTTTTATTTTCTATTGAGGAATCTAAGTCCCCATGTCAAAGACAAACACATGCAGAAAGGACACAGTGGACTCATGATTTCATTGCACAAGAAGCCACAGCTCCTACTCTGCCCCACACGCCACCAGGTGGCCCGCGGTCCAGCAGCCAGCAGGGGGCTCTGCGGGGCTTTCCGGCGAAATGATCGATGGGATAAGGAGGACTCGCTGACCTCGGGCACATCGACACAACACTCAAACCCTGTGCCCCCTGGGCTCTGCAGCACCCTCCTGCTGCCTCTTTCTCCGAGGACCCCGTTCTTAGGCACAGGCAGGAGCCCTGGCCTTCAAAAAGTCCTGGTAGCACCTTCAAGTTTGTAAGGTTCAGTTCAGCCATGACAAGTGGATGAATGAAGGAGAGCTTGACCGCATGTACAAAGTGATTATTATAAAACTTTATTGAAGCTTCTCACAGCAGAACTGAGTTTGCAATGCCAGGACCACGTTGGGGTCTTCACGGGGGACACACGGGAAGGAAGCAAGCCTTGCCCAGCAGCTGCCCACCCCTGGGGAGCCAAAAGGTCCCCAAGAACTCTTGCTATGCCACACTGCAGGGGACCAGAGCCTGGCCAGGAGGTTCCCAAGGGAGAGGACTCCAGGGGCACAGGCTCAGGGCACCATGTGCCACCACTTGAAGGAGAAGGGCTGCCGGCGCACGTTGGTCCCGCAGTGCACCTCCCCGTGTTGAAGGTGGTACGGGGTGAAGTCGTCGATGAAGGTGCAGTGGAGGCCCAGCGGCTCCAGCAGGGACCGCACCTTCTCCTCCAGGCAGCAGCGGCCGTTGATGATGGGCCCGAAGGGCTTGGGGATGCCCAGGTGCTTCCCCAGCACCAGCATGTTCACCTGCAAGGTGAGGTCCCAGGTCAGGGGCCGCAGCGTGCAGCCTGCATGGCTCTCCGAGCGCCCCCTCCTCCTTCTGACCTTCAGAAGTAACAGCCCCACTTCACAGATGAGGAAACTGAGGCCCACACAGGTGAAGTGGGCTACCTACAACCTCCCGCTCGTCTAGGACTTACACCCAAGTCTGTCAGACTCTGGGGTACAGGCTCCTCCGCCGCCACCCTCTGGCCAAATCCACTCCTCACTGAGCTCAGCTCAAGCGCCACCCCCTGTGTGACTGCGCCGGCGCCCGTGAATCCCCAAACTCCTTGTGTGTGTTCCCATAGCTCCAAGCACAGTGCCTGGCACACAGGAGGCACTCAGTGAATATCTGTTGAATGGACGAATGTGATTTTCCATCTGTCATAACTTATGCAAATGACTGTTTCCTCCAATATCTTGGGAGGTGGCCCAAGTGAGCTGGAAAGATGAGGATTTGGGCTCCCGACCAATGAGGGTTTGACTCTCAGCTCTACTACTCAATAGCTGTGTGACCCGAGGCAAGTCTTTTCCCCCCTCTGAGCCTCATCAGCAAAATAAGCCCTACGTGTTTCCGTTGCTATGACAATTGATAAGGGTCCTGAGCACTGTGCGGGCACAGGTGCAGTCAGTCTCCAGGGCTCAGGAGCCGTCGAAGGGGCATCTCTCTGTCCCCGCTCAGACACAGCCCACACGGAGAGCCCTGCGCTAATGCCTCTGCCTGGTCCTCGCCCTCGCCTCCGCCTCCACGGCAGGCTCCTGGGACAGTCCTGGCTGTGCTGAGCCTCCCTCCAGGGCCCTCGAACAGGACAGCGAAGGCAGTCAGCCCTCAGCCCGGCGGACTCTGCCTTTGAGACCCGCATCCCCGGGGGCGGCATCCGCTCTCTCTCCTGCGTTGGGACCCCTGGCTGGGCTACACGGGAGAAGAAACCAACGCTTGGGGCGGAGGAATTTTGTTCCAGGGTTGGCAGGAGGGCGCCCTCGCTTACCTCAAGGAATCCTGTATTCTAAACAGAATCTTTTGCAGAACATCAGTGCATAAAACAGAAAAAAATCTAAACCACTGCATTTGAGGCCCTGCCTGGGAAGCCCACAGCCCTGGGGAGCCCCGTTTGAGGGCCACGGTGCTCCTCCCTCCATTGCAACCCCAGCTCCAGCAGGAGGGGGTGTCTAGGGGCCCCAGTGGAATTGGGTGAAGTTGCTTCCTGGCCCTTGGGTATTCTTTTTTTAAATTTTTTTTATCCTCACCCGAGGACATTTTTCCTTTTTTTTTTTTTTCAGATAGAATGGGAGAGAGAGAGAGAGAGAAACATCGACTTGAAAGGGACACATCGAGTGGCTGCCACCCACATAACCCAACCAGGGCCGGGGACAAACTGCAACCGAGGTACGTGCCCTTAGCAGGAACCGAACCCGGGTCTCTCTGGACCGCAGGTCGATGCTCCAACCGCTGAGCCAAACCGGCCAGGGCCCCTCAGGTATTCTTTGAAGAGGCAGAGGAATAGTAAAAACAGTCAATGATGTAAGATGCTGCTTGGGGTCACAGTAAAAGTTCTCGACAAAGGTGGGATCCCCTCAAGTCCACCCTCAGACAGGTGGGTGCCAGCCCGGCAGTGCCAACCTCGCCTCCTCAGAGAGGGCTTCCGGGTCACCCAGTCTGGAACGGTGCCACCTCCATTCCCCTCACGGTGCTTCGCCCGACCTGAGAGCATTCCGTTTGCTGCCTGTGCCCCCACCCTCCGACCTCATCCCCCAAGGGCAGCCCGTCGCGGGCCGTGCAGCCTGGTGGTTCGAGTGTGGGCTCTGCAGCTGGGGCCCGGGCTCTGAACCCCACGTCTTGCCAGCGGTGTGCTCTGAGCCAAGACCTCCCCTCCCTGTGCCTCATCTGTCAGGGGGGTGGCGTCGTCTCTGACCCCCAGGGTGCCCTGGGATGCCCACAGGAGCTCTGGGAGCCTGATGGGTCATGAGCCCAGCTGGCCTCTCGCTCCAGGCCACGGGCAAAGGACCGCCCCCAGCCCCGTCCTCACCATGTTTGGGAAAAGGGCTTCGGCCTTGAAGGTCCCTGTGAAGTTCGAACGGAGCTTGAAGAGCTGGGGGACGTCCACTATGTCCCGCTCCGCCAGGCCCAGCTCCCGCTTCAGCACCTCCCGGTTCCAGTCGATGCAGCTCTGGGGGAGGGGGAGGGCATGGCAGGCCCGGGGGCGGGCACAGGCTCCTTTCTCCCTGTCCCCCACTCGGTCCCTGCTTTACAGGCACTCGGTCACCCCAGCACGTGGCCTCTCCCCTGCCTGTGTCCCTGTTTCTGAGAAGTCCACCTGTCCTTCCAGACTTTCTCTCTTTTCCATGCATCACCTTGCGTGTTCCTGCAGAGGGACCACTGAGCTCTCCTCCCTTTTTGTTTCTATCCCTCACCCGAGGATACTTTTCCATTTCTCATCAGATAGAGTGAGAGGGAGGGAGAGAGACAGAGAGAAACATCGACGTGACAGAGCCACATCGACTGGTGGCCTCCCGCATGACCCTACCAGGGCCGGGGACCAACCGCAGCCAAAGCACAAGTCCTTGGCCGGAACTGGACCCGCAACTCACTGGTCTGTGGGCTGACGCTCTAACCGCTGAGCCAAACCGGCCAGGGAGAGCTCCCCACTGTCCCTCACACGTGCACATTTACCCAGATGCCAGGGCTGGTCACACTGAGCCAGCATGCAGCCCGCAAAGGCTCTGTCTTGTGGAAAGGGGGCTGTGGGTGGGGTGTCAGCCTGAATCTCAGGGACAGGGGCTGAGGGTGGGGTGTCAGGCTGAATCTCAGGGATAGGGGCTGAGGGTGGGGTGTCAGCCTGAATCTCAGGGACAGGGGCTGAGGGTGGGGTGTCAGCCTGAATCTCAGGGACAGGGGCTGAGGGTGGGGTGTGAGCCTGAATCTCAGGGACAGGGGCTGAGGGTGGGGTGTGAGCCTGAATCGCAGGGACAGGGGCTGAGGGTGGGGTGTGAGCCTGAATCTCAGGGACAGGGGCTGAGGGTGGGGTGTGAGCCTGAATCTCAGGGACAGGGGCTGTGGGTGGGGTGTGAGCCTGAATCGCAGGGACAGGGGCTGAGGGTGGGGTGTGATCTCTAATCTCAGGGGTGGGGTGTCAGCTCTCCCCGGGCTGTGGCATCTCCTGGGCACCCAGGCTGGTACCTCCACATATGAGTTATGTTCTCGCAGTTTCTTGTTTGACAGAATGTCCTTTATTTTCTGCTGTCTTTTTGCTGTCATGGAGAAAAAGAAAAAAAAGCAGATGAATTCGGAGGTCCACGTCCCTCCTCCTAGAAGCGGTGAGAACTCAGTTTTCCCGTCTGCACAATGGAGCAGCAACAGTTCCTAACACAGCGTTGCGAGCCTCTGGGAGGCAAATGCCTTTCATAAAGTATTGTTTCAGGGTAAGTTCCCATTAAAGATCTGCTCTCAACCCTTCCAGTCTCTTCTCTCCAGAGAGCCTCGTCCAGGGGCCAACAGAGGTCAGACCATTGCCCGGTACCCCACAACATACTACAGATGCTGGGCGAAAACTCTCAGCCATGGACGCTTCTCAACCTCTGACCCCAGCCTATGTCTGTGGACTTGACTGAAAAATAGATTATTTCATTCTGTGCTCTGGCCAGACCTTTTCTCGGGTCCTTGGACACATCTTGCTTCCTCCTGCCGCTGAGCCTTTGCAGTCACTGTTCCCTCTGTCTGGAATATCTCTCTTCCTCTCACCCACCACCCCAAAATGTCCTGGCCAACTCCGGCTCACCCCTCATGCTCTTGCTTGGTCTTTGCTTCCTCCAGGAAGCCTTCCATGAGTTCCTCCCAGAACCACCCCCAAAGCCCCTTTGTGGTAGCTGTTTTCTGGACTCCCTTGCCCGGGACTGAGCCCCGAGGGTCCTGTTCAGGCCGCGGCCCCAGCGTCTCGCACAGTGCCTGGCACACAGCAGGTGCTCAGAAGACAGCTGAGGCCTAGATGATGCCACCTGGCCGCAGGAGAGCACGTGAGGGCCGAGGAAGGTGCCCGAACGGAAGAACAAGGCATGGCCAACTTACTCTTCACCCCCTCGAACAGCAGAGCCTCCCCGTGGCCCTCCCTCAGCTGCTCCTGGAACAGTTTGTAGCAGGACCTGGGGCTGGCCAGGAGCAGCCGGAAACCCTGGAGGCGGAAACACGGGTCAGAGCTCAGCGTAGCCCAGGGGGCTCCCAAGGAGAGGGGCCCTGCGGGAGGTGCAGGGAGCGTGGGCTTGGACCCAGGCTGGCTGCCTCTCCCCCGCCCCCTTCTGGGGGAGGGAATGACAGTCAGACATGTCGGGTTGGGCCTCCCAAGAGAGTGCAGAGCTGTGCTTGGGACCCCAGGAAGGCCACCAGACCGCACCTTCGTGTGCACAGGAACGAAGCTCAGGAACTCGTCCACGTGGCCCACGAACAGCCAGTCGGAGTAGAGTTTCACGGGGGCCTGCACCTGCTGGGCAGCGAGGAAGTCCTGCAGGGCCTGGTGCATCTCCTGGCTCTTAGCGCTGCCCACACAGGATGAAAGGAGTGTCAGGGGGTGGGGTCAGCAGGGAGGTCTCTGTGGGACTGGAGCTCGGCAAAGGAGTTAGGGATTCAGGAGCCTGGGGCTGCTTTCATTATATTCTGTAACATTTGAGGAATTTAGGAATTTTTGTCCCAGTTGTATTGGGGAAACAGACAGGGAGTCAATAAGGTAAAAGGGATCACAGCTCAACCTCAGAAAGCACAGCCTAGATGCTGGTGCGAATCAGCGTGGGGATTTGGAGCTGACCCAGCCCTTGTTGGTGATCTCATGTTAGCATGTGGTCTTGGGGTTCTTTCTTCACCTTTCTGAGTTTCAGTTTTCTCCTTGCTCCATCTTCCAAGGTCCTCTGTGATCTAGCCCTTTGCTTCCTCTTGCTCAGTCTGTTTTAGCCACTCTGACCTTCTTGCATACACTAAGCGCATCCCTGCCTCAGGGCCTTTGCACGTGCTCTTTCTTTGGCCAGGGATCCTCCACCCCAGATCTTTACACAGCCACATACTTTTTCTCATCAGTACTCATTTCAATAGCCTCCTCCCCAGAGAGGCCCTCCCTGATCACTGACATAGTTCCAACTCCTCCTCTGCCTCTCTTTGTTCTTTTCACTATTTGAAATGATCTTATTTGCTCCGTACTTTGATTGCTCTCTCGAGCCCTAAGTTTGTGGAGCCATCCCTTGGTAGGGAGCGAGAAGGAGAGGCCTGCACTCTGGCTTCTGCTTTCCCACGGCATCCCGGGGCCTGGCCAGCCCTCGCTGTGCCCCCCTTTACCTGGGATAACTGCTGTTCCCAATGAGAATCCTGCCCAGCGGGTATCTCTTCTTCCCAACCGTGACTGGGGGGCTCACTTCTAGGTTTCCAAAGGAGTCGAGGTCAGTGATGCCCCCCATTTGGGGGCCTCGAGTCACGTAGCCAAAATCTGGACCCTGAGATGGGAGAAGCCAGTGCCAAGTTAGAGAACTGAGTCCCTGGGGGAAGAGAAGGGGGTCCCAGGTTAAAGATGAACGCGGTCACGGGAGGGAATTCAGCCATGTCAGCAGCTGCTCCATCGCAGGTACCATCATTATGGTGGAATGTCGGAGGCACAGCAGGCCAGGTGGGCAAGAAAAGGCACGGGCCCTGGCGAGCCCTGGTTGCCTGCCAGCTGCTCCGCAAACCTAGTTATTAACTAGGGCATCATAACGAACCCACAAACCATCACTTTCATCTCGCGGAGAAGATGCTAAGCTCCGAGTGGTGTGTGGAAGGACTAGGATTTGAGCTGTCTCTGCAGCAAGCTGTCTCGGTCCACACCCTGACCTGGGGCTGGAATGGGCTTCCATGAACCACGGTGACATCTCCATGGGGATTGTCATGGGAAGACCAGGTGGGCGACACCCCCCCCCACCCCGACTGTGTTTCCTACTGCAGCCACGTCAAATCTAGTGGCTTGAAACGGCACACATTCGCACGCCGTCCTGGGGGTCAGAAGTCTGAAATCAGTTTCCCAGAGCTGAAATCAAGGTGTGGCCTGCTGGGGGCTCGGAGGGGACAATCTGCTTCCTGGACTTTCTCAAATTTAGGGGCCCCTTCTGCATCTCCAACCTCTCTTCCATCCTCACGAGTCTTCTCCCACCCTGACCCTCCTTCCTCCTCTCACAAGAAGCATCATGATTGCATTGGGTCCACCCAGAGAGTCCATGATCATCTCCCGTCTCAAGGTCCCTAGCGTAGTCACACCGGTGAAGTCCCGTCAGCATCAGGGTTGGGGCCACCATTCAGCCTACCACCCTAGCTCCAGCTTCCTAGACCATCGCTGGTCTGTGCCTCGGGGCTTCGTGGGGGCCGCAGACTCCTCGAAAGTAGATTCCAAACTGTGAATTTAGGTGCATTTTTCTGGCAAGATGAATTGTCTCAAGGAGGTCTGTGATTCTTCTCATTTAAAAACCATCGCTTCCTCCCTTTCTCTCTAAAACCTATGCCAACCTGACGTCCACCCTCACAGTGTCACTGAAACTGCTCTCATGGAGGTCTTCAGGGTCACGCAGCTCTACCCAACAGGCGTCGCCCGGTCTTGTCTTCCTCGCCCGCAGCAGCACCTGAGCCAGCTGGGCACACCACGTCCTCCGCACACGTTCTACGCGTGGCCTTCGGGACCAGTGCGCTCTTGGGCCCGCCATCACCACGGCCTGTCCTGGGCAGGGGGAGGGGGGCAGGGGGGCAGGCCCAGTCCTCATCTCCTTCTGCTCCCCAGCTTCACCGCCTCCACTGGGGATCTCGCCCAGCCTCGGGAAATGCCGTCCACGCACTGGCAACCGCACGGTTCTCTCTCCAGCCTGCGCTTCTCTCCCCAACCCCAGGCGTGGATCCGGGGGTGGCCTGACTCCCCACTCGGGGCATGGTGCCTGCCTCTCACAGGTCAAGGCCTGAGGTCACCTCTGCCCCCCTCCTCCCAGCCTCGGGAGGGCCTCACGGCGTAGGCGATGAAGCAGACCCTGGGGGCTGAGGGGCAGCCAGACATGCAAGCAGGCAAGAGCGCTGCAGGCAGAGGGAACGGCAGATGCGAAGGCCGCTCCCGGTGAGTCCAGGTGAGCCCAGATGAGCCCAGGTGAGCCCAGGTGAGCCCAGGTGAGCCCAGGTGGAGCATATTGGAAGAACAGGAAGGAGGCCAGGTAAGTGGCAGGGAAAGCGGTGAGTTTCAATCTTATTCTAATTCTCTTCCTGAGTGATTGGAGGTGGAACATCGCAGACGTGCTTGGCTAAGGGGCCGTCGCCTGTGCCGAGGGGTTTGTCTGTCTGTCTCTCTGGCAGGACTCTGGAGGTTTGGCTGGCGAAGTCACAGACTCTGACTTCTGTCACACTTGGGATCACAAAGGAGGAAGGGAGGCCGCTGGCCAGAGTTGGGCTGAAACCAGGAGAAGGGCCAGGGTCTCCGTGGCAGCTGGCTGGTTGATCCTGTCGCTCCGCAAACAGGATTGACCTGACCCCATAGCAGAGAGGCACCGTGAACTGACTCAGCACAGGAGAGTCAGCGGGGCTTGGACAAGCGGCCGAGTTCAAGTTAGGTTTCCTTTCAAAGCGTGTGGACCGGGCCTCCTCCCCCTCCCTTGGGTGCAGAGTGCTCCCTGGAAAGCCATTCATCATGGCAACCCTTACACCCCACACTCTTCCTCCATTTTCCTGGGTGTCTGAGTGAAGGGGTCGTGGCGGCTCCGAGTGCAGGTCTGGACTCTTCCTGGGAAAGCTCAGAGGCAGACTGGCCTGGCCTGAATCCCAACTTCTCCCTTCTCCTTCTGTGCGAGCTTCGGAGCTGCTCTACCTCTCCGAGCCTCAGTTTCTTCATCTATAAAATGGGCCTAGTGATAGCATCTCCACGAAAGGTTGTCAGACGAATGAAATGAGTCAGTGCGTGCTCAGTAGATGTAACTATTATAACTCTAAGCCGAGTTTGCACAAACTTGCCAGGCTAGTCAAGCGTGATTTAACAATCTGTTAAATGACCATGGCGAGCGAGCCTGGGGTGCTGTCCTCGAGGGGAGGTCAGGGAGCTGGGGGCTTACCACCTCGCGTTAGGAGGTGATAGAGAGGAAGGAAGGGAGGGGTCTTGGGAACACAGGAAGGGCTGCTTAGGCCTGAGAGGCTGGGATAGGTCAAGGAAGGGAACCTGGCTGACACACGCAGAGTCTTTGGCTGATAAAGTCACACCTCGGAAATGACTACTCTGATCTTGAACCGGTGCCCCCATCCCAGATGGAGCCCCCCAAAGGCCAGACCCCACCCAAATGACAGCCTCCAGCTGGATGTTGGGGAAGGTTCCGGTCCTGGCCCCACCCCCACCTCGCAACAAGAGCACCTCAGTGGAAGAGAGACGCCCAAGCCTGAACTTCACCCTCAGTGGGATCATCTTGAGGACGAGGTGAGCTCATGGCCGGGAAGGGCTTGGGGAACGGAAGAGCCAGATCTCACCACGGTTATAACGAAGTGACACGGCCCACCTGCATGATCACAGCTGGAGCAGGACGTGCACCTGTGGGAGCTAGCACGCAGCCACAGAGGGGGTACGGGGACAGGCAGTGAAGAAGGAGGCCTCAAAGCAAGGGCGTTCAGCACTCCTCCCCCGCACCTACCAGCAGGCATTTGATGGGGAACTCCTTCAGGCCCCTGTTCCTCGGAGAGTCAAAGACCACGTGCATCTCCTTGTGTGGGGCCTGGATGTAGCCGATCTCTATTTCATCCTGGGCAGAGTGAGTGGGAGGGAGGCTGGTGACATGCTGTCTGGGTCTTGGCACCCAGTGCGGGGGACGGGGCGGGGGGCTCATCCGCACTTTCTCCCCACTGTGGTCAGGGGCGGATTCATGCAGGGTGTTGGGCCCCAGAGGAAGGGCTCTGAGCAGGCAGGTGATTGCCTTGTGTTTGTGCAGACACTTGTGGAACCCTGGAGTGTCCTTCTCTCTCACCCTGAGTGCGCGCCCTGGGCAGGTGCTGGGGACCATGGCGCGCGAGCCTGGGGCGCTGTCCTCGAGGGGAGGTCAGGGAGCTGGGGGCTTACCACCTCGCGTTAGGAGGTGATAGAGAGGAAGGAAGGGAGGGGGCTTGGGAACACAGGAAGGTCTGCTTAGGACTGAGAGGCTGGGACAGGTCAAGGAAGGGAACCTGGCTGAGCTGTGGCCCAGAGGGCAGGGGTAGGAGTAGCCCTCCCACAGGGGGACAGGTTAGGGGAAGGATCAGAAATGAATCGGGTGCAAATCCTGCCAGTATTCTGGCAGACAGAGGTGATACTGGACATATGTCACTATTAGGCCGAACCACATGAAATTGCCGTTCTTGTAGGTCAAGAATGGTGGCCGATCAGCCATTTCATATGATTCAACCTGATTTAACCCAGAGGGAATGACAAGAAAGGACGAGAGGGTGTCCTTTGGGGGGCTAGAAGAAAGGGGGACGAATTCCCGCTAGAGGGATAGGGCAAATTTACGGAGGAGGGGCCTTCCAGCGGGGACTGGACAGACATGGTGTGGACATGGGATGAGAATGGGGAGGCGGTCGGAGCGGGACGGCGTGGGCAGAGTCTCGGGGCAAAGCAAGGGCGCAGCCCACCGGCTTAGCCCGCCGGCTGCCCACGGACACTGCCCAGTGCCCGGCACGGGGGTGCTGAGATGAATGAGATGTGGTCTCTGCTCTTAGGGAGCTCATGGCATGATGGGCACACCTGGCATGCAAGCAGAATGCTGATACAGTGTCACCTGTGTGGTGGCAGGCTGGCACCGGGGACAGGGACAGCCAGACTGGGAGGGCCCTGAAGGCAGCCTGGGGAGGAGATGGGACCATGGAAGGTGCTGGAGCAGGGGTGTGGCCCGGTCTGGTGGCTGAGCCCAGAAGGCCAGCCTGGAGGAAGGGCCACTGGATGGAGCAGTTGACCTCCAGTGCCCTGAGCTCCGAATCACTTTCAGAGGTCACCTGAGAGTGTTTAGACAGTACAGTGGCTTTCAGCCTGGTGACAAGGATGGGCATGCAGAGGCCCGCAGTAAATGCCAATCAAATCACTTGCCTGAGTCCCCTTATGCCAGGACCTTGGAGGCTCCTAATTCCCTGCCCACCCGAGGAAGGTGGTCGGCAAGGCGCTGGGCTGAGCCCCCTGGAGCCTGGGTCCCGCAGTGACCCTTGACCTAAGGGTCACCCATCCTACGCACCCCAGTCTGCTCACCCCACAGGGCCACGAACCTGCATCCACTGGTCCTCCATGCTCTCCTCCATGGGGCAGACAGTCAGCTTGCAGTTGGCTTTCTTGGCCAGATCAGTCAATGACTTCAAAAAGTCCTCATTTTCAAATATCCTAGAAAGAGCAGACAAGAAACCCCTTGGTGTTCTTAATCCAGCAGCGAGGGGCCTTGGCCCAGATCTGAGGGGCAAGCTGGACCCCTGCAAGGTCCCTCAGGGTGAAGCAAGAGCTCAGGCCTGGCCAGAACCGGGGAGGCACACGGTGGGTGCTGGGGCCTGGCCGGAACCGGGGAGGCACACGGTGGGTGCTGGGGCCTGGCCGGAACCAGGGAGGCACACGGTGGGTGCTGGGGCCTGGCCGGAACCGGGGAGGCACACGGTGGGTGCTGGGGCCTGGTCGGAACCGGGGAGTCACACGGTGGGTACTCGGGCCTGGCCGGAACCGGGGAGGCACACGGTGGGTGCTCAGGAGATGCTTGTGGCCTGAGGGGAGACGGCTGGCCTGGCCTGTCTCTCTGCTCTTAGCAAATATCATCTCATTAAACCCTCGTAACAGTCCATGAAAGGAGCTAGTGGGTGCCCTCTTCCACCGAGTAGGGAGGTCATTGCTCAAGGTCATGCCATCTAAGGATAGCACTGGGATTTAAACCCAGGCCTCTCCGGCTTTCTGCTTGTATCCTGACTACCGGGTTCCACCATCACCCCTTCTGCCCCTGAAGCAATTGGAGGAGGAGAAGGGAGGGACCCCTGACACCCCAGCATACTCAATGGGGTCTCCTAGGCTGCAGACTGGACGCCGAGGCTTCCCAGAGCAGCTTGTTAATTGCAAATGGCCCATCCCCATAAGATCCCCCAGAGGCTGGCCAGGGATGTGCATTTTAAATGAGTCCCCAAGAGTTTCTGGTGCAGAAGGTCCAAGGGCCACCCTCTGAGAAACCCATGACTGAGGGTTCTCATCTCGCAGGTCCAGCAAACTCGACAGGCCCCCAGGAGCTGAAAGCAGCCCTTCGCCAGCATCAGGGCAGGTGGACAGGCAGGGCAGGCAGGGCGGGGCAGGCAGGGCGGGGCAGGCAGGGCGGGGCAGGCAGGGCGGGGCAGGCAGGGCAGGCAGGGATGGGCAGGCAGGGCGGGGCAGGCAGGGCAGGCAGGGATGGGCAGGCAGGGCAGGCAGGGCAGGCAGGGCAGGGATGGGCAGGCAGGGCAGGGCAGGGCAGGGTGGGGCAGGCAGGGCAGGGCGGGGCAGGGCGGGGCAGGCAGGGCAGGCAGGGCGGGGCAGGCAGGGTGGGGCAGGGCAGGCAGGGCGGGGCAGGGCGGGGCAGGCAGGGCAGGCAGGGCGGGGCAGGCAGGGTGGGGCAGGGCAGGCAGGGCGGGGCAGGGCGGGGCAGGCAGGGTGGGGCAGGGCAGGCAGGGCGGGGCAGGCAGGGCAGGCAGGGCGGGGCAGGCAGGGTGGGGCAGGGCAGGCAGGGCGGGGCAGGGCGGGGCAGGCGGGGCGGGGCGTGGCAGGCAGGGCGGGGCAGGCAGGGCGGGGCGGGGCGGGGCAGGCAGGGCGGGGCAGGCAGAGCAGCCACAACAAAAACAGCAGCCGCGATCGCCCTGCCCCTGAGTGGCTCCAAACAGGCCGCGAGCCCTTGGCGAGTGGCTGCAGGGGCTAGTTGTTCCCATCCACACAGCAAGGGCATGGTGGGTGCGCAGCCAGCACCCCGGGCTCCTGGCGCCTGGCCCCAGTCCAGGGCTTCTCGTGGTGCATCTGTGCCCTGCCCCCAGCACTCCAGGGCCCCTCACCTGCACACATACACCTCCTTCGGGGGCTGAGTGTTGGGGGTCATGATCCAGGGGGCCACACGGAAGACCACACTGTCTTGGAACAGCAGGGCCTCGGGGAGCTCCTGCAGGGAGAGGAGCAGGGAGCGGCTGTCACAGAGGCCAGGGTGCGACACCTACCACCTCCCTGCTGGGCTCTGCACCCACCCCAGCCGGCCTACCGGGTTGGACGTGTCCAGCAGGGAGACCGTGAGGGCAATGAGGCCTGGGAAGTTGGCGTCCGGGAAAGCCAGGCCCTCCACGTAGAAGTCTGTGCTGTGTTGGCCACCAGGGACCTCCAGGAGGTGGGACGGCTTCTGGGGCCCCAGGATCACCCTGTGCCCCAAGGGCTGTTTGGCCCCTAAGAGAGGGCAGGGGAGGCTCAGGTCTGTGTCCTGACCCTTGATGACCCTGTCTTCCCCTGGCCTGTGATGACTTCCCAGGGCCACCACAGGTCACTCTGAGGGCCCCTCACAGCTAAATCTGGCTGAAGCTTCCCTTTAGGAGAAAAGGACTCAGCTGGGACATAATCCCCACCCTGGGCCTGGGGTCCAAGAATGAAGTGACGGAGTGCTGAGCCACTTCCAACATTACAGGAGGCCTAATGTACATTTGTTGTTCGTTCGTTTGTTCATTCATTCATTCATTCGTTCATTCATTCATTGATTCGTTCGTTCGTTCGTTCATTGATTCGTTTGTTCGTTCATTCGTTCATTGATTCGTTCGTTCGTTCATGCATGATTCCTGAGCACCTGCTCTCAGCTGACACTGGGGAAGACCAAGAAGACAGTTGTTGTCCTGGTCCCCAGGGGGCACAGTCTCCTAGGTGAGTAGGGAGGACCAGACAGTCAACATCACAGGTGGTAATAAGTATTGTGATGGAGGGAAGCTCAGAGGGCCAGGGAAGGCTTCATGGAAGAGGTGACGCCTCGGCAGAGGCAAGGAGCTGGTTTGCTGCCAAACCAATGTCGGTCAAATCACGTTGGTCTAGGATGTAAATCAGATCAAGTCACGCCCTGCACAAAATTCTCAGATAGCTCCCCAGCTCCCTCAGGCGAGAAGCCAAAGTCATTCCATGCCCACCTGATCTGGCTTTGCCCCTCTGCCCTTTCTTCTCCACCCTCACCTACCACCTTGACCCTTGCACCCTGCACTCCAGGCGCACTGGTGCCCCTGCATTCCTCAAGCCCCCAGCACTCTCCTGCCTCAGGACCTTTGCACCTGCAGTTCCCTCTGCCTGGGCTGTCCTTTCCCAGGGTTCCCACACCTCCTTCTGCTCCAATGACACCTTATAGAGGACACCTTCCCGATCACCCTCTCCCGTGTCCTCTTCCCTGTTCCATTCTTCCGTGTAGCATTTAACACCATCTGATGCACTAAGCGTTTAATTTAGTTTACACATCATCTCTCCCAACCCCCGAGATGAAAGTGGCACTGAGCAGGGACTTTCCTGTGGTCTTTGCACTCTGCCCTGTGCCTAGAACCGAGCCTGGCACTAACTTAGCAGCAGATGGCTCCGGAGCTGCTGAGACCTTACTGATGGCTTTGATTATCAGGATATCGGACAACCATTGATAACCTCACACATGCCATTGGCTTGGATTCAAGAATCTCCTTAAAGGAGAATCGTGTGTGTGTGTGTGTGTGTGTGTGTGTGAGAGAGAGAGAGAGAGAGAACAGTTCTTGGGAGGGAACTTATTTCCTCGTCAGAGTTCACCGGCTCCAGACATCCTCTTGTCTGTCTGTCTGCATTTTGTCTGCGTGCTCTTTCTAGGGGGCAGTGGGGGGAGACATCTGTCTAGCTCGCTACTCTATCCTCGGTTCCCAGGACGTGGCGCACAGTAGGTTCTCAGGAATTACTCGCCAACGGGGGTGTGAAGGGGCTGTGGCCTTGACGGGGGCAGAAAGGGAACATCGCGGTGACAGCCCAGGTCAACTCACAACTGGCTTGAAACACTCTGACTTTGTCCATCTCGGACTTGGCCACGTGGAGCACCAGCTGGTGCCTGGTGAAGAAGTCCCGGGGGGTCCTCGTGCTCAGGGTCACCAGGGACATGTCCTGCATGTCTGCAACGAGAAGGTGTGGCCTGGGGTGCCGACCCCTGAGACCTGCCCGCCCCCTGCAGACCACCTTGACCACGGCTCCTGGCTTCATTTTCTCTGCGCTCTTCCCAGTGTTTCAGCGATGTTTCCATCTGAGAATGCAAGCTAGTCAAGGTTGTGGTCTTAGGGAGGAGCTCAGGGTGTACGCTTCGCAGAGCCGGGGCCTTGTTTATCTTGTTCACAGCTCTGTCCCCAGCTCCTAGAACTGAGAAAACCTGGAAGCACCTAGAACAATGGCTAGCTCACGCCGGTGCTCGAAACTACTTGTGGAACAAACAAGTGGAAGGGCTTCCCCCCGGGCCTGATGGGAAGTGAAGCAGCTGGAATGCCGGCCACAGGTGGGGGTGGTGCCAGGCTGCACAATGGTCATGCGGCTAGGGGTGTTGGGGTCGGCTGAGGGGAGTCATTTTAGCTCTCGGCGCCTGTTTCCTCATCAGTAAACAGGGCAGAGAGCCGTGCCCACGTGGGGGAAGAGTGAGGTCATCTGTATAAAGTGCTCAGGACAGCGCCCAGCATCCTGGGAGTGCCCACAGCGGGTACCGGCTATGTGATGATTACTGTGTGCCGGGCACCATGCACAGGCTGCCCCCTGGCATCAGGCCAGGCCAACCGCATGCACTGTTGCTGTGTACCCGACCAGTCCCCCAGGAAGCCCACAGCCGCTCCCCTCGCTGGCCGACCTCACCCCCTGAGTGCCCTTCTCCAAGGCAGGAGGACAACGTGTCTTCCGCCCTGGCCACTTTCAGAGCTGCCCGTAAACCGGACCCGGTGTCAGGATGCCCAGGTTCCAATCCTGAGCCTGCAACTTACTAGCTGTGTGACCCTGAGGGAATTGCTCAACTTCCCCATGCCTCAGTTTCCCCATCTGTAAAGGGGGGAGGAAGACAGTACGCACGTCTTAGCCTTGTGTTAAAGGGCTGAATGGACGAACACAACTCTGTCAGAGCAGTGCCCAGCGTACAGCAGGGCCTTGGGGCTACCCTGACAGGTGTCTGGGGAAGTGACCAGGCTTTCATGTTGAATTGCTTCGGGCCCCGGGTTTGACCCAAGAGCAGATGTCTGGGTTGGGCAGCAGGCCGGGGTAAGGAAACAGGCCTGGGGGAGGCGCTGGGATTCAGTGCTGATCCTAATTGTTCCCTGGCTGCTGTGTGGCGTTGGGCAGGCCCCTCACCCTCTCGGAGCCCTGTCCGTGCCTTCTCTCACACACTGGACACGCTAACAAGAACACACTTCCAATAGCCCCGATTTCTGAGGGCACTGCCAAGGCTGCAGACACAGGACTTTATAAAATGACAAAGCTCTTTTCCCATAGCTCTTGGGGGTCTTTACCTTCTCTGTCAAGCACCTTGTCATCTGCGCAGTCCATGGCAGGAGCTTTGGGACTGTCTTTGTCACAGTTCACCAGAAGGATGGCACCTTGCCCCCGGGGGCCCCAGGTCCAGGTCCTCTGTGGACACCCAGCAGAAATGCGGCACAGTTAGGAGCCTGTGTGTGTCCCTCCGACTCCTGGGGAAGCACCTGTTCCCAGCATCTCAGTGGCCTCGCACAGTTCATACATCTTGCTCCCACATCTTTAATCCCCAAGAGTGGATTTTTGCCTGCCCCAAAAGTCACAAGCAAGCTCACCAAAAATGCAATTCATCCACTTAAATAAAGAAGCCCGCAACAGTACAATGGGTTTTAACAGCTTTAAAAAACTGTTGGATTGGCAAATCACACTGAGCTAAATATTTGTGCCCAGATTCTAATCTAAATAGTTACTCTTACGTGAACTCATAATTACCCACTCACCAAAGTATGGGTACTATTCTTAGCAGCCAATTACTGTCAGTCTGCCGAAAGCAAATTAAGCAGCCCCTCCCGGTGGGGCCGTACTGGTGATGACGCCTTTTGTTGGTAGGGGAGCACTAGCCCATGGGAATGACCGCGTTTGGGGGTTTGGGGTGGGATGTAAGATGGATTCCACTCTCAGAGTTGGAATTCTTTGCCCCACTTTGGACTGACCCAAAAAAGGGATCTTAACCCTTTGACAGGTCATTTTCTCCTAAATGACAGCCTAAAATCATACAAGCAGCTTTGAGGCTTCAGGGATACCCTGAGGTTTATCCACGGACCCCAGTTAAGACTACCCATCACTGACAGGCACCAAATCTCTCTTTCCGTAACATACATTCCTTGCCCCCACCTGGCTCCTTCCTGCCCCTGCCCCCTGCCATTTATTCCTTTCCCTGTTATCCACTCCCGTGGGCAGTATCATGAGAATCTCTCCCACCCGTCGTTAAAGCCTGGGCTAGGGGACTTGGGTGCTAGAGGTGAGACCCGCCTGCAAATTTTCTCTCTGCTGTTCAGTAGAACTGGGTGACTATAGGTTCGTTTGTAGGGCAACACGTTCTCTGAATTCACAACCAGTGGAAATCTAGTTTTGTAAAAGAGATGGAAAATATCTAAACCAAAATGGTAATGGTGATTTTCATTTCTTTCTTTTTCTTCCTAAATTGTCTTCCAGTTAACACGGGGTATGTGAGACAGCCCGCCATGCATCTCATCACCACCAGGGGGCGCCAGAGGAGAAGCCAGTGGAGTTAGAAGGAACATTTAGGGTGTCAGTCAAGGTTGAGCATACCTGGTTCTTCCCGGCCTTGATCGGCTTCACTTTGCCAGTGCGGGTGGTGTCCGCGCTCAAGGAGATTTCTGAAATCCCACCAAGTAGGAGACAGTTGGTAAGGGAACAGGGTAGAGGCACTCAGCCTGGCCCCAATGGACAATGCTTTCCCCGGAGACTGTCTGCACCCCTTCAGAGGAGACACAGGTTCTCCTTATGTCCCCCAAGAAGAAGTCTGACTGCAATTCAGACAGCAGAGCTGGGGCTTCTGACCACACTTATTCTCCTTTGGGGGTGGGGGGCACACCGCAGCTGTAGTGCCAACCAGATCTTACATGTCTGGCCACGTTTGGGGGTTTCAGAAAGAATTCCCAGCCACCCCAATGAGATGTTTGGTGTGAAGCCCCTGCACGAACACCTTGCCAGGCTCTCAAAAGCCTCTGCCCCAACTTCAGCCCCCATTGACCTTGGGCGGGGGACACAGTGGTTACTTCAACCCCTCCTGTCTCTTTATGATGTGTATTGTAACTGCCTCGGGGACAGATCATGGCCCCAGACATGCCCTCCTCTGTCCAAGTGGCATGGCTGAGAAGGCATATGTTTCTAAATTCTTCCTCCCTCATCAGAACACATGACTTGGTCATTGCAATGACACAGAGCCATGATATAGCGACCTTGGGCGCTCACAGTGCAAGATCGACTCAGATGACCTTTTAAACATATCCATCGCCACGTGTCAGTGTGGGGCCAGGGCAGCATCGAGCCTAGTGGCCAGGACTTCCCTGCTCCTTCACTAGTCAATTGGCTGAGTGACTTTGGGCAAGTCTGTTTACCTCTTGTGCCTCCATTTTCTCATCTGTAAAATGGGATAATAGTACCAACTTTATTGGATTATTATAAGGTTTAAATGTAAAGTCTTAGCACAGTGCCTGATATATAGACCTAGTGCTTTATTATTATCATTATTATTAAAACGTGTATTAATAAAATAAATGTGTATTTTAAAACCTTTTTAAAATTAATTTATTTTTGTTACAGATGTTTCTCCTTTTACCCCCATTGACACCCTCCTCCCACTCCACCCCCTAAATATGTATTAATGAGTAAAGTTCATTAATTAAATGAAACCTGATGGTTTCACATGTAGTTCATATATTGAATGTACATTTGAATAATAATTAATAATGTCATTATATTATTATTCAAAATGAGGCCAAGTTAGACAATATACCTTATCTAAAGAAGAAATTAAATATATACAAGTCTAGGTAGATTACTGATATGGCAAAAGTGTTGAAGACAGGATGTAAATAGTGGAATTTGGGGAACACTGGTCTATGTTATTGCATAAGACAGTGTCATCATCTACTTCTTTCTTATAAGTAGCTGAAATGTCAAAAAGATATAGAGACTCATACTGAAAATTGGTGTACCACTTCCTAAGCTGAGAAACAAAATATGAAGATGAAATCGAAGGCCCTGCCACAGCCTCCCTCCCCAGCTGTTTTTTTCTGCGGCTCACTGACTGGGAAGAGAACGTGTACGAACTACCAGATGTGTGACTGGCTAGAAACTGCCCTTTTCCTCCGCTGTCTACAGTGATCCCCGGAGTGTGGCTTCTCCTAAGGCTGTGTGTGGAGGGGAAGAGGATCCTGGTCACTTACCCACCCCGGTGACGTAGAGCAGGGCTTGGACTGGGTTGACCTTGGGTCCGTAGTATGAAATCTGAACCTATAGGACAGCAGCAAACCACTGATGACGTCTCTTAGTCATTCAACAAACACTAACTGGCCCCCCGCTGTGTGCCAGATCAGGACAGGATGCTGAGGGGACAAGGACAGGCCAGAAGTGGTCTCAGCCTCTAAGGAGCACCCCAACTGGTGGGAGCGGAGGGGTCAATGACTGGGATGCATAGACAAGGATCCTATGGGAGCCCAGAAGTGGGGGCTGACTGCCTAGGTGGGGCAGGGAGGTCCCAATGAGGTCGATCTTGTAAGAGGAGCAGCTGCAGACGTGGTGGAGGAGGCATTAGAGAGCGCTGGAGAGAAGCCACAGAAACTGGCTCCGGAAAGCAGAAGAGGTGGGGGGACCTGAGCACCAGACCTGGGGAAGGCTGGAGCCCGAGCTCGGAGGATCTGCGGAGCAGGAGCTGTGGATGGGGGTGGTCTCTTCAGGGCAGGTGCTATTGTTAGTAAGAAGCACCAACCCCCAGTGCACAAAGTTCAAGACCCAGGAAGGACACATCTGATTGGCCCAGCCTGGCCGGAGGAGGGCGCAGCATTGGGATGGACACTTCCAAGCAAGCCAAGGAATGGCCACTGGAAGAAGAGGAGCTCCTGAGCGGTGGTACTGAGGTGTTGGGACCTGTCCTGTAGATGGTGGGGATCCAGGGAAATGTCGCAGCCACCATCCCCGCGTGTCTGGACCATGGCATCCGCCTCTGGTCTACTGCCTGGATCCAGTCTGCTCACCACACCGCAGCCAGTGGGGTCGTTCTAACACACGCACGCAGTCTTGTTACCTCTGCGTGAAATGTTTTCATTGGCTTCCTGTTGCCTTCGCAAAGTACGATCCCTGATGCCAAACTCTTTGATACTGGCTTTCTCTCTCCCCACCTCCTTCTCCATCTCTTTTCTTGTCATGCAGATCCTCCCCAGTTTCCAGAGTGAGCACAGGTCACATCCCTATGTAGCGCTCCCACTCTTCTTTCCCTCTCTTGGATGGGTCACTCATACCATCCTTCAACTTGCCGCCTCCTCCAGGAAGTTTTCCCTGATTGTACCTCCCCCAATTTGCTTTGATACCCAAGCTCTGTGCTCCTACAGCAGGCAGCAGCTCTCTACCCGAGCGGGGAGCCTGCCTGGCCTGGCCTGCTGGGAGAACAAGTGTCCTTGGCCCAGCTGTCCATGGGAACCCCAGAGGGGCCTTGCTGAGCCCATCTATAGCCAATGAGGGTGCAGTGGTAAATGGTGGTGCCCCAAAAGATATGTCCACATCCGAATCCCTGGAACCTGTAAGTGTGACCTTATTTGGAAAAAAGATTTTGCAGATGTAATCAAGGATCTTGAGATGAGATCACCCTGGATTATTGGGGCGGGCCTTAAATGCAGCGACGAGAGTGAGGCACAGGGAGGTATGACAGACTGAGGAGGGGCAGCGAGACCGCAGAGGTTGAGATTGGAGTGATGAGGGCCTGGTCTGGGAAGGCCAACGGCCCCTGGACGCTGGAAGAGGCAAAGCGCCGATTCTCCCTGAGAACCTCCAGAGGGGCGAGGCCCTGGCGACACCTGGATTTCAGACTTCTGTACCCAGAGCTGCGAGAGAGTACGGTCCTGCTATTCTAAACCCATCGTTTGTGGTCACCTGTTACAGCAGCCACAGAAAATGAAATGCACCGGCGTGGACCAGAGTTTCCTGGGGCTGCCTGGCTGTGGCGTCACCACCGTCTGTATTTGTTTCCCTATCGTACCCGATGCCCTCACCCATAGGTTATAAACTCCACGAAGACTGCAACCTCCCTGTCTTGTCTATTTCTGTATCTCCAGTGCCTGGCAGTGCTTGGCATGTAGTAGAAGATTATTAAACATTTACTAAATAAGTGAGTTTCATCAAAGCCCCGGCCTCAATAACCCCCCGGCATCCCTATATTGTCTGTGAGGACACTGTGACTGGAATGAGCCATCCTGAGCTTTCTCGGAGAGACGGCGGCCGCCCCAGGGCTGGGGCTCTGGCTCGAGGCAGGGTGGATGTGGACAGCGGACCTGCTGAGACCTGCTGGCCTCTTCCCACACAGCCCACCCCACAGCGGCCTCACTTACCTTCTGATCACCTGTGTTACTGCTGGCAGCCCTCATCCTCAGGCTCACCTCCAGCCCGGGGTCCAGGGGCCACTTGCAGGAGCCTGTGGGATTCCTCTTGGCCGGAGGGCCGTGCGAAACAGCTACAGCCACGCCCGGGGAGGCATTGATGCTGAAGGACGTGCAGCCCTTGGGGGCAGAGCTGGAAGACGCAGGTGGGAGGACAGAGAGACACAGTGAGGCAGGGTCTGGCCCCCACTGCTCTCCCCAGCATGCTTCCTTTTGCCAGAAAGGATCAACACCAGACAGCAGCTAGTCTGACCCTGAGCATGGGAGGTTATAAGAGGTTGTGCAACAGAAAAAACGTGCCCTGCCCTAGAGGGCTTACACTCTTACACTAGAACTAGAAAAGTTGCAGAGATATGCACAACAAAAACACACACAGATGTGTGCACAGAGCAATGTGCACTCCCTGAGGGGTATTCTCTCTCTCTCACACACACACACACACACACACACACACACACACACTCGCAGTAAACTGAAGAACATCAAAGACAAAGAGAAGATCTGAAAGGCATCCAGAAAGAAAAGTGAGATCCCCTATGAAGGAATAAGCATCAGACTGAAAGCAAACTTCCCAACAGTAACAGTGAAGTCCATCAGACAATTGAATAATATCTTCAAATTATACTGAAAAAATAACTATTAACTTAGAACTGTGTGCCTGGCAAAATTATATTTTGACAAAGACATTTTCAAGTGAAGAAGAACTGTTATTTTAAAGCCAACACATGTTCACCAAACCAATTTCTAAAGACATACTTTAAGAAGAAGATATCTGAAGCCAGAAGCGTGGGTCTGAAATGCAAGAAGGAATGGTGAGCAAATAGAATGGTAAATATGCATTTGTATAAAAATATTTTAAAATATCAAAAATTGTGGTATTCAGTAAAAGAGCAGAATGTACATGGTGGGGGGCGGATAATGAGAGTTGAAGTATCCTGAGGTCCTTGTTTGAAAAAGGAATTAACATAGTGCGTAATTCTAGATTTTATAGAGTTAAAATTTTTTTAAATATGTTTTTATTGATTTCTTTAGAGAGAGAGGAAGGAAGAGAGAGATAGAAACATGGATGTGAGAAACATCAATTGGCTGCCTCCTGCACGCCCTCTACTGGGCATCGAGCCTGCAACCCAGGCATGTGCCCTGACTGGAGTCTAACCAGGACCACACCAGCCAGGCTATAGAGTTAAAATTTTATGATTAAATTTAAATAGTAAAAATAGAATTCATAAAAATCTACACATGCAGAAAATGCAATAAAAAAACATAAACATTTCATTCAAAAAGGCAATAAAAGAACAAAAGGCAACACAGGAAAAAAATGAACAAATAAAAATAATGCTAAAAACAAATCCAAATATATAAATAATCCAAATACATGTAAACGAATTTATGTTACTAGTCAAAAGAGAGTTTTGGATTAGATAAAGAAACAATAGCCATATGCTATTTATAAGAGACACACCTAAAATATAAGAATCCAGAAAAGAGGAAATTTTTTTCAAAAGGAAAAAGGTGCTTTAAGCCAATACTAACCAAAAGAGAGCTGGGGTGGACGTCTTAATATCAAACACACTATTAGCAATAGAAAGGATCTCAACCGAATAATGTAAGGTTCAGCTCACCCACAAGATATCCTAAACTTGTATGTACCTAGTAACATAAATAATAGATACATAAAGTAAAACTTGATAGAAATATGGAAAGAAGTTACAAATCCACCATCATGGTTGAAGATTTCAACCCCTCCTTCTTAATTAACAATAGTGTAAACAGACAAAAAGTAACAAATTTGATTTAGGGGACATATGTAGAATTCTGTACCCACAACTAGTGAACATACATTTTCCCAAGCAAAGCACATGTGGATCACTAAAATATATATATAACCACGTAATTCTCCATAAAGCGAGTTTTAACCAATGTTAAAGGAAGACTAACGTATAGTATAGGTAGCATTTTCTTTTTAAATTTTTTTTCTTTATTGATTTTAGAGAGAGGGAAGGGAGACGGAGAGAGAGATAGAAACATCGATGAGAGAGAACATTGATCGGCCGCCTCCTGCATGCCCCTCCCCCCTGGGGATTCAGCCCACAACCTGGGCATGTGCCCTGACTGGGAATTGAACTGACAACCTCTTGGTGCAGGGGTCAATGCTCAATCACTGAGCCACACCTGCCAGGCGGTAGCATTTTCTTTCATCACAATCTAAGGAGTCACTAATCCAGCCCAGCTCTAGAGACCCATCTCAAATGAGATTTCCCCTCTGCAGACGGAATCATCGTTCCCTGAAGATGACCACATACTAATCCCCGAAACCTATGTATGTGCTACCTCACATGGAAAAGAGGACTTGCAAATAATGATTAAAAATCTTGAGATGAGAGATTAACCTGGATTATCTGGGTGGGGCCAGTGTGACCACAAAGGTCTTCATAAGAGGGCGGGGGAGGGGCAGAGTGAGAGAAAACGGATGAGAGAAGCCGAGGCTGCAGAGATGCAGCTGCTGGAAGGGGCCAAGGAATGCAGGTGACTGCTAGAAGCTGCAAAAGGCAAGGAATGGATTCTCTCCAGCCTCCACTAAGGAACACAGCCCTGCTGTCACCTCGACTTTACTCTGTGCATTCAAGCCCCGTGAGACCCATTTTTGAACTTCTGATCTCCCGAGCTGTAAGATAATACCTTTGGCCCAGCCGGTGTGGCTCAGTGGACTGACGATGTCCCATGGACTGAGAGGTCCCCGTTCAAATTCCGGTCAGGACATATGCCGGGTTGCCGGTTTGGTCCCCAATAGGGGGCGTGCAGGAGGCAACTGATTGTGTTTCTCTCTCACATCAATGTTTCTATCCCTCCCTTCCTCTCTCTCTAAACAATAATAATAATAATAGATGTGTATTATTTATTGAGAGAGAGCTTCTGTGTTATCTTAAGCAACTGGGTTTGTGGTCATTTCTTACAGCAGCGACGGGAAACCGCAGGCCCCCCTTTTCCGTCCCCCTTTCACAGTCCTCTCATCCGCTTTACCTAAAACCTGCTCTTGGGTGACTGCTGGCTAGCTTCCAGAAAGGTGGCAGGTAATCTCGAAGCCCCGGGACTCAAACCAATTTCCTCGTTAGAAATTTAAAAAAGCAAATGAGAAGTTCCCATAGATGGAAAAAAAAGCCAGTTTTTGCCTTATCAGGTGGCTGTGGACAGCAAAAGGTGAAAACATAAAAATGTTCTTTCGTATCTCAGGCAGAAAAAGCCACGGGAGTCTAGTCAAGACATTAGCTCACAACCAGTCGGCCCCTCATCCTCCTTCCCCGGTCAGGAATTTGGCATTTTGTTGCCACGGTGATATTTCAGGTTTGGCACGTTCTCCCTGTCCTGACGGCAGTGCCCAGGTCACGTTGACTTTTACTCAGGGGACACCTGCAGAATGTGCCTCTGTGTCCACACTCATCCTGTGGCTGGGCTATTGTTCCTATTTACAGATGAGGAAACTGAGGCTCAGAGGGGCACAGTGTCCAAGTCTAGGGCTGACAAAGGCAGGTCCGGGTCCACGCGCAGCCCGGCCTGACGTCATTTCCATCCCGTCACGACTGCTCCTTCCTCAGCGGCCACCTCACCCTGCTGCACCGAGGGTTTACAGTGTGCAAACCTGGACGAGTGTCCCATGGCGCCCACCTGAGGACTGCGGACCGGCGGCTCTCTAAGCCTGGCCCTCAGGGCAGCGGCAGCAGAGTTACCTGGGCATTTGTTAGAAATGCAGATCTCGGCCCCGCCCAGACCTGCTGAATTGGGAACTCTAGGAGAGGGACCAGGCAGTCTGGATGGTTTTTCCAAAGGTTTTAAAATGGATTTTTAGAGAGAGAGGAAGGGAGAGAGAGAAACATCAGTGAGAGAGAAACATCGATCGACTGCCTCCTGCACGGCTCCTACTGGAACTGAGCCCACAACCAGGGCATGTGCCCGCCCTGACCGGCAATCGAACCCGTGACCCTTGGATCCGAGGGCCGACGCTCTAACCACTGCGCACACTGGCCAGGGCCAGCAGGCTGTGTTAACACATCCTCTGGGCGGTCATGATGCACACTCAAGTGTGAGAACCACGATTGTAAAAGACACCGAGACAAGTTTGTCGAATGGCCCTGAACTGGACCGGAATCCGAGGGCACCGTGAAATCGCGCACAGGGCAGGATAGACAAAGCTTTGTGCCCGTGGGACCCGCTGTTACTGCTGTTTCCTCACGAGGAGAAGCCACAGAGGTGGTGGGATGTCCGGGCGTTCACAGAATGGTCGGGCTGGAGGAGAGGGACACCCACGTTTCTGACGAGGCCCCAAGAGGTGACGCAGTGTGCAGACAAGGGGGTCTGCACCCGCCGGGGCGAGAGCCACTGTCTCCAGGTCTCACCAGCCCCCCTCTCGGCCAAATGGGGAAACTGAGGCTCGGAGAGGTGAGGCCCTGCGGGGAAAGGGCACCACTGGGCTTGGACTCTAGGTTCTCTGCTTTCTTTGGCTCTCTTCCAGACCCTCTCAGGTCCCAAGCAGGGGACGTTCACAAACATGCCCGGCACTGAGCCTGCATTTTATCATGTAACCCTCATCACAGCCCAGCAGGGCGGGGGTTGATTTGCCCATTTTACAGATGGGTAAAGTGAGGCTCAGAGACACTTACAGACTTGCCCATGGTCCTCACTGTCACACCGAGCGGTCTCCTATGGAGGAGACACTGGGAGAAAGAGGAGAACCCATCGCTGGCGGCTTTGGAACGCCCCCTGTGGTGGGCACCGCCTGGACCCGCGCCCGTTCTGGGCCCTTCCCAAGCCCTGTGGAAGTGGCGTGAGCCCCACCAAGCAGGCAGCCGCGCCCAGCGAGGCCCACCCCGCAGCACTCGGAGGCTGCGTGCGCCAGGGAGGCAGGCGGCTTTGGGATCAGACTGGCCTGGGTTCAGGCCTTCTGGTTTTGCGTGACCTTGGGTAGATGTTTTCGCCTCTGGAAGGCCTGGATTACCATCTCGATGGACGAGGCTGGCACATAGCCCCTGGGCTCATGACACAGCCCTGGCCCCACCCACACACGTCACAGAAAGCCCCGGGCAGGTTGCCACCGTCTCAGGCCAGTGGAATTTTGTTGGAATATAATCGATGCATTTCCTGATCCTGGAAAAGTACTTTCCAAACGGAACGAACAGTCTAGCGCAGTGGGAAGAGCTGCTCTGGAGTTGGCCCCCACACCCGTGGGGTCTGTCCCCACCACTACAAGTGTGCCTCTCTCGGTCTCGGGGACGCCAAGCCCGGGGACAGAGGGCACGGCCTGAGCACGCGTGGAGCACGCGTGTGCTGGGGGCCATGCTGCCGAGAGGGGTGCCAACCCGGCTGTGTCTTAGGAAGAGAATTCAGGCCGCAGTGAGGGTGGCGGCTATGCAGGGGATGGGACGGTGGCACTGGCTGGGGACTGCTGTGAAGGGCAGGTTAGCAGTCACCGGAAGGGCTGGTCCAGGGACCGAAGTGGAGAGAGGGGTCCGGGGCCCAGGCTGCCTGGGTCTGAGTCCTGGCTCCCTCACCTACCAGCTGTGAGGCCTCGGGCAGCTTACCTAAGCTCTCCGAGCCTCGCCGCCGCCCTCTGTCAAGTGGGAATGACGGCACCACCTGCCTCAGAAGGTGTCGAATGAGCTTTGTGTAGGAGGAGTGAGGCAGATGTCGGCCAGTGTTTTGTGAGACCTTCAGGGTGTTCGGTGGCGAAGCAGGAGCCCTCCGATGACAGCAGGCTCTCTCTCCTGTCCTCCTCCCTCTCGGTCTCCTGCCTCCTCTCCGGGGAAGCCGCGCAGACATTTGCAGCTGTTTTGCTGCCGCCCAGCTCCAGGCAGCAAGCCACGCCTTCAAGGCGACGTCCCAGACATTCCTGCAGGTGCCATCCTAGGACCCCAGAGGCCCAGCCTGGGGTGGAGGAAGCCAGGGGCTGCCAGGACTATTACTAACAACAACGCCAGCCATGCACACCACTGAGCGTGTTCCTAGACCATCTGGTTTAACAGATCCTGACACAGGTGCTCAGTGGGTATTTGTTGAATGAATGGGTGAATAAATGAACAACTGCCAGGGATATGCCCAGCACTGTGCTACGTACTTAAACATTTTCATGGTTTTCACATTTAACATCTTTAACCATCCTATGAAGTGGGTATTATTTCCATTTCACAGACAAAGAAAAGGCGGCTCAGTTGCCCAAGGGCTCCAGCTAGCCTACAGCAGGGCCAGGTGTCCCTCCTCAGCCCGCCCCACCCCAGAGCCTGTCTCATCACCCCCACCGAGGGCGGCTTGACTGGGGGGCCATGTAATACATTGCACCACGGACCAGGTACGGGTCTAGCCTCGCTTCCAGGGCACACGCGCTGTGTGATCCTGGGCAAGTCACAGACCCTCTCTGAGCTTCCACGGCCTCCATGGTAACACTTTATTTGTGGTGAGGCTCCAGGAAACTCCCATTTGTCCATGGCAAAGAACCCACTGCCCTGAGTCTGGGCACATCCCAGGGCCACTCAAGTCTTCTCTCTCCAGCTTCTCCCCCAGCAGCGGCCACAGAGGCTGGAGCCCACAGCCTGAGCCAACCACAGGCCGGTGTCGGCAGAACCTGTTTATCCTGCTCCCCGCCCCCAGGATGGCCCTTGCTCACCCGAAGACGTCGAGCTGAGTCTCCGTGCCCAGCACACAGACAGCATGGGTGGGCTGCTCTGGGGCCACGTGGATCACTGTCCCCTGTGCCATAGTCCGGCCAGCGCGTCCCTGCGGCTGCAGGAAGCCCACGGGCTGCTTCCTTTATACCGTCCAGCGGAGACCATGAGTCAGCACCTGTGGTTTATGGCGCAGTGGCTTAGCCCCTACCGCTCAGGTTCGAGGCTGCTGCCCTCGGCCCCTCCTCTGCCCTGGTTCTGCCCCTTGACCCCTTGGGTGTGGATGACAAAATCAGGGGCAGGCTGGCTCTGTCAGTTTCCCAGGAAGGGCGGAGGGCTCAGGAAGCCTGGGGGTGGGGTTGTAGGTCTGAGTCCTCGTGTTCATAACCCCATCCCCGCCTGGGGCCGTGAACACCTGGATCCAGCCAACCTTGCCTAACCACGCCGGACAGGGCTCTCGGAGAGGCTGAGCGAGAACACGGGGAGGCTTTGAGATTTGGGGCCAGAGGTCGCAGCCCGGGCGACTCACGCAAAGACTGGTCCGGTGTGGGGCAGCGTGCCCAGGCTGGGTCACCCACACGGAGGCTTCCTGTGTGCCGGGCCCTTTCCCTGCTCCTCACATGGAACCGCTTACCAAGACAGCCGTGATAGGCGCTGTTAGCATCTCCTTCCCACCGCGACGCTCCGACGTCAGTAGCATCCTTCTTCCCACTTTACAGAAGAAACAGGCCCAGACAGGATGCACAGCTAGCACGTGGCGGGGCCAGGGTTTGAGCCAAAGGCATCCTGCCCCAGAATATGAGACAGATCAGCTGCCTGCCCACCAGCTTTTCCGATGTTGTAGCGTCTGCTTCTTACTACAGTACAAGGTATATAGGAGCTTGTTATTACCACCCATTTTATAGTAATTTTATAGAAGGGGAAATAGAGGCTCAGAGAAGAAAGGTGACTTGCCCAAGGGGCCACAGCTAGTGTGTGGCAGAGCCGAAAGCCAGCGTTCCCTGCACACTCCCGGACGCCTGCCTCTCGCCGGGGCCCCTGGGTGTCAGGCTAGGCATTGCAGGTGGGGCACATCTGCCGATGGGACACTCACTCGGCCACAGAGCTGTGTGTGCACCTGGGCCACTGGTGCCAGGCTCTCCCTGCTGTGGGTGATGGGTGAGGCAGGTGGATGGACAGGTCCCAGCAGGGACCACCCGGAGGAGGCATACATGGGGACCGGGAGGCTGCGGGATTAGGCAGGCCTGAGTTCCAATCCTGCCTCACGCCAGCATCCCCGCGAGGTGGGTCCCTTCATGATGCCCACGTTACAGATGAGGCCACTGAGGCTCAAGAGGAGCTAAATAATGCTCCCGAGGCCCCACAACCCCAAAGTGGGGGTCCCGGATCCAAACCGCCTTCTCTAGGCTCAAATTCCATTTTCTGCACCCGCAGGTGACAGGCCAGAGCTGGTGTTCTGAGGCGTCCCCAGGACTGCTTGCACACAGTAGGTCTTAATAAGCCAAACTTTTCTGGCTGGTCATATGGTTAAGACTAGTTTGAGCTTCTCACGGAGGCTGGAGGAGAGACGTGTTAATGGGCAGAGTGGGGGGCCTCGAAGCGCAGCAAACCCAACTCTGTGGACGGGAGGCCGAGGCAGAGAGCGTGTGCGGCGTGCCCACTGTCCCACAGCAAGGCTGAGGTTTCTCGGGGTAGTTTTCTTTCTTCCTTTTTTTCCTTCAGCAGTTTGAAGGTTAAGTTTGCCGTGAATAACCACGGTGAAAATAAGCCAAGGCAGCTTTGCTAATTCAACACGTATCTGCTGGGAGCCAACTGTTTGCCAGGCACTGTTCCATGCCCTGTGTAACTTTTGCTTATTGGTTTTTAAAACTCTCCAGTTATTATTCCAAAAGGAACGTTATTTTTTAAGTAGAAAGATAAACCTTTTTCACCCATATCCCCTCTTTCTACTCCCCACTGGTAGCCTCTGCTATCAATTAAGTGTGGATCATTCTAGAATGTCTTCCGGATTGTTATACAAGGGGATTATGGCAAGCCTGTTTTACAACTGTTTTCACTCCATGGGTCTCAGACAACTTTCTGTCTTGTACCTATAAATCTATCTGATTTTTTTCCTCTTTTTTCGTACATTAAAAAAATTTTTTAAATATGTTTTTATTGATTTTTTTTAGAGAGGGGGAGAAAGAGCTAGAAACATCGATGTGAGAGAAAAACATCAATCAGCTGCCTCCTGCACGCCCCCTACTGGGGATCGAGCCCGAAACCCGGGCATGAGCCCTGACTGGGAATCAAACTGGGACCTCTCAGTCCAGGGACGGCGCTCAATCACTGAGCCATATCAGCCGGGCTCATATATTTAAAAATGTAAAAGATGTATTCAAAGCAAATTGTGCCTATTTAATCCACTTCCATAAGTAATGATTACTAAGACCACTCCCACCTCGTCACTTAGCATTTTGCCACTTTATAGATCACTTCCTTTTGTGGCCAGATTTTCTTTACTCACCACGGAAGGTATTTGTCACGTTACTGTGAAGACCTCGGAGGTTTCGTCTATTGCATCAGAGGGTGGTACCACAGTTTTGCTACCTGTTCCCACATATTTCCTCATTTTGAGCAAACATCTCTCTCTCTCTCTCGCTGTCTCGAATCCCAAATAAACATTTGCCTGAGTAGAATTACTTCCTTGATCATTTTCCTAGAGGTAGAATTTCTCATATTTAAAACTGCTTTCCAGAGGTTCACGGCTCACTTCACCCTGGCCTTCCCAGCGACTGTTTTTTTTAAATCCTCACCTGAGGCTATTTTTGTATTTTATCTTCAGATAGAATGAGAGGGGGAGGGGAAACATTGATGTGAAAGGGACACAAACCGACGAGGGCTGGGGACGGACCAAAACCGAGGTACATGCCCTTGACCGGAATCGAACCCACAACTCTTTGGTCCTCGGGCCGACGCTCTAACTGCTGAGCCAAACCAGCCAGGGCTGCAACTTGTTTTTTTGTTTGTTTGTTTGTTTTTTATCCTCACCCGAGGACATTTTTCCAATTTTTGTACAGATAGAGTGGGAGGGAGAGAGAGGAAGGGAGAGAGAGAGATAAACATCGATGTGAAGGGACACATAGAGTGGCTGCCACCCGCACGACCAACCAGGGCCGGGGACAAACTGCAACCGAAGTACGTGCCCTTAGCGGGAACCGAACCCGGGTCTCTCCGGACCGCAGGCCAACGCTCTAACCGCTGAACCAAACCGGCCAGGGCTGCAACTTGTTTTTTCCTGCTGTTTTGACAGTGGTGTTTTGTGTTTATTTAGTTCTTAAGGAGATTAAGAATTGGTTCAGATGTTGGCCATTCCGTCGCTGATGCTGCTGTTATTTGAGAGCCATTGTGGTCAGAAGAGACGCTAGGGAGAGAACGGGCCAGAGCCGGGACGCGGGGCCTCGCAGACAATCTGTGACTTTGCTTTTCCTGGCTGACCACGATGACATCTCTCCAGCAAGAACCTGCAGCTTGGAACTGGAGCTGTGTTAAAATAACATTGCCACGCAATCTTGAACCTCAGCCTGGCTTAAAATAACACGGACACCCCCATTCTCGCCCGCCAGGCTTGGGGATGATTTCCCGCGTGTGTTTGTTTGCTCAGTGGGTTCACAGAGGCCTTGGCGGAGCACACCTGTTCTCCCAGTGCTCCATCCCTCCCTGTGCGTCCCTCCTCACCAAGCAGGTTGCCAGGCACCTCCAGCCGCCGCTCAAGGGCCCTGTGGGTTTGCACGAACATGCCTCTTGGCCCTGAAAACTCCAGAGCCCAGAGCCCAGATGCAGGATGACGAGGCATGGGGCTGCCGCACGTCCTCACAGTGTACTGCCCTCCTCCTGTTCTTCATGGATCGGGGCCTCCAGTGGCCGCTACATCCCGTTTCTACAATGTCCCTCTGTTCTGTTCACTGAGCGCTTGTGGGGTGCCAGACTGTCTTCCCAGGTCTCGAGGGACCCAGGCCTTGATTTTTCTGGGCTGTTCTAATTTCAAGTATGTAATCCATGTAAGTGGTGACAGATCAGTATACAGGCTTTGTAAACAACTCCTACTGTTCAATCAAGTAATGTCCGTCCCCCTGGTCAATGAAATTGGTCTATTCATCTGTCTCCGCTGAAGTTCTTCATTGTTTTAGCTACTATAGCATTACAATAAGTCTTAATACCTGGTAGAGCAAGTCAGTTCACATTTCATCTTGAAGATTGACTTAGTGATTCTTGGCTCTTAACACGTCTATATAAATTTTTAAATCAGCTTATGGGTTCCGTGCATGCGCGTACGCGTGCTATAGTGATTCTAATTTCGTTTGCATTAATTCATAGGAGAGTTGACATCTCAATACTGAGCTTCCAATCTATGAACATGGTCTCTCTCCCCAGTAATTTAGTTCTTGAATGTTTTCAGCACAGTCGTATGGTAGATTCCATCAAGGTTTTGTACATCTTTCATCGTGTTTGTTCTTTGTTTTTATTTACCATTTTATTACCACTATACGTAATACATTTAAAATTTTCAATTTTATATTTTTTGTTGGCAATAGAAATGCAGCTGAGCCTGGCCGGTGTGGCTCAGTGGATTGAGCATCATCCCAGGGACTGAGAGGTCCCGGTTCGATTCCTGGTCAGGGCACATGCCCGGGTTGGAACTTGATCCTCAGTAGCAGACATGTAGGAGGCAGCCGATCAATGCTTCTCTCTCACATCAATGTTTCTCTCTCGCTAAAAAACAAAAACGCAACAAAAAATATATAAATCTTTTAAAAAATAGAAATGCAATTGATTTCTGTACACTGGTTTTGCAGCGATAGCCTTGCTAAACCATCTTATTCGTTTTTATAGATTAGAGATGCTTTTGGGTTTCCTACTTACAACCATTCCTTTCCGATCTTTAAAACTGTTTTTCCTTCCCTTGCCTCACTGCACCACGTGAACTTTCTGCTCAACGGAAGCGATGACGGTGGGCACTCGGGTCTTGTTCTGATCCCAGGAGGGTAGTTTCACCATTCCATCAGTAAGAATGAATTGTGATGTGGGTTTCCTGTAAATCAGTGGCTCTCCAACTCTAGCAGCACTAGAGTT